TGCGTAAGTTATTTATAATGAATTAGGGAACCGGAATGTTCAGCACATGAAAACATCAGCACCAAGATAAATTAGAATCTTGAGGGTGGGTGTGGGCATGGGCGGGCATCATTAGTGTACTGTAATCGCACATCTACTCCCGCACCCACACCCAAACCTACATCAACACCTACACCCCCACCCACCCTCAAGATTCTAATTTTTCTTGTTGCTGATGTTTTCATTTGCTAAATAATTACTGTGCTGAACGTTCACCAATCCAGTGAATTAATACCTTCGTTTTATTTTAGACATGTACCACTTCATCAAGCTCGTGCAATAATTCGTGCACTTAAAGGTGCTACATTTTCGGAAGAATTATGTTTTGAAGAAATTCTTAAACAATTAATTAAAGGAAAAAAAATTTCAACTGAAGCTATAACGGAAGCTTTATGGAAATTTTATAAAGCTCCACCAGATGATAATACAGATGTTATTGCGGGAAAAATTCTTACATTTATTGTTGGGTAAAATTTTATTGATGTAAAATTGATCGGAAAATAAAAATCTTTCTTTTATATTTTATAGAAATGAAGTGAATACAAAATTAAATGATATAACAGATCTTATTCAAGCAAAAGAAAAAAATCGTCGTTTTGTACATATATCATGTTTACTTTTACAATTAGCTGCTACACCTAAAAAGGTTAGTAAAATAGAAAAAATATTGTCGTTCTTTATTTAAATATCGATCTAAATAGATGGAAAATGGTGTTCGACCAAAACAATTTCGTTTACCAAAAACACATCGGTTATTTGAAATTCTCGGCAATATTATTGTTTCAAGTAATAATCAAATAAAAGAATTTTATGAAATCATATATTTATTTATTTTATAGCTTTTCATGATGTTTCCGATCGACAATGGACACCTATGATGGAATCAGCATTTGATGTTATTTTTAAATTAGCTGATGGACCCATAAAACATATTGAAAATATAATAAAAAAACTTGCTGTTAAAACTGGCGTTAAACTTGGTGGATTATTTAAAATTCCAACTGCATCTCAATCACAACCTGTATTTATTGAACCAATGGATTTTGAAAGTAAAAACGAAAAGATTCTATTTCATATTTCATATTCAATTTAATAATGTAGATGCTGGTAATGATAGTAGTCAAAATCAATTATCTCAACAACAACAACATCATCATCATTCTCAAACAAATTCAAATTCAGCATTAATGTTAGTTCGTTTTTTAAATTGTCTTGGAAAAGCAGCTGTTGGAATCGTTTATTATGTTGATTGTACGGTGAAAGATGAACTTTTTCGTCGAAAAGAAGCTAAACAATCAGCAGCAACTAATAAAAAATCACAACAGAAGCCAAGAAAATCAGCAAAAAAACGAACAAAACGTAAAACACCTGATGAAGATGATGAAAATCAATCAACATCAATTAATGATACAACAACTACTTCATCAAATCAAACTGTAAAATTTTAAAAATAAAAATAAAACAAATTATTCTTTTTTTCATCTAGTTCAATACAACAACTAATCAAACAATCGATGATGAACAAGATGATGAAATGTGTCAAGTATTTGGCGGTGCTGAAGCTGAAGATCCAGTTGATAATGAAATTAGTTTATATATACAATCATTATGCGAAAAAAATTCCTTATTAATGCAATATAAAAATATTCTTGAACAAGTATGAACATTTTTCTTCAATTAAATGATTTGAACAAAAGAAAACACGCGTCATTCTTATCGATATTACTAAAATCATACTATTATTGAATATAGAATTGACCTAATATAACTATGCAGTACACTCTATCTTTTTACGACTCCAAGTTTCTGTTTTCGGGTGAGCGCGGTCTATCAATGCTTTGTCTAAGTCTCGTTTTTTGGGTGGGAAAATTGAAATTTCGGATGGGCGCCGCCTGCCCGCTAGATAAAGCGGCTTACCATACTCTCGCCAATAAGATTTTTCGCCAACTGACACTCTCGCCAATGGCGAAAGTCCACTGTACTTTCGCCAACACACTCAATAGACTTTCACCAATTGGCTAAAGTCCATGGTACTTTCGCCAATATATTTTTAGACTTTCGCCATTGGCGAATATCCAGTTGGCGAAAGTCTTATTGGCGAGAGTGGGAAATGCCGCTAAAGCACTGACGGCTTCATCATAAAGGAGGCATCAGTTAATAATATGTCCGTTATTTTTACTTAAGATTCTTCTTCATCCAAATGATTATCGTGAGGAAGCACTTCAATTAAGTGCTACTATATGTTTATGTAAATTTATGTTATTATCTGTTGAATTATGTGAAACACATGCAAAAATGTTATTTGATCTATTAAAAAATTCTACATTTGAAAGTGTACGTGTTGCTATTATGGTTTTAATGAATGATTTTTATTTGAAGTAAGTTGGTAAAAAATAAGAGAATAGAATAATATTTTTCATTCTTTTTCAAAGATATCCATTGGCATTTGCTGCTTATTCAAATGATGTTTACGGTTGTTTACGTGATCGATCAGATAATGTTCGTTTAGCAGCATTAAAAACAATTTCAAATTTAATTCTCAAAGAAATGGTTAAAGTGAGTTATTTTTCTTCAATATAGAATAATTTTCTATAAGTTAATTTCTTTAGCCAAAAGGACAAATAAGTGAAATAGCCTTATGTATTATTGATAAACATCCTCAAATAGCAACATTAGCTACATCATTCTTTAGTGAATTAGCTAAACGTCAACATGGCGAAGCATTATTTAATATTTTACCAGATATATTTTCGAATTTAGTTGGCGGTGGATTAGATAAAGAACGTGAATTAAATGAAGAAGATTTCAAATGTATTATGGAATTTTTATTTAAATATGTTAGTAAAGAAAAACAAACAGAAAGTTTATCAGAAAAATTATGTCAACGATTTCATCTGGCTGAGTAAGATTATTTTATTATAAAGTAAATCATTAAAATAACTTTATCGATTATTTATTTTAGTAATAATCCTCGTTTATGGCGTGATCTTGCATATATTATGTCAAAATTAACATATAACGAACGAGCATTAAAAGGTTTATTAGATCATTATAATTATTATGCTGATAAACTAGTTGAAGATGCTGTTTATGAATCATTTTTAATGATTGTTAATAATGCGAAGAAATTATTAGGAAATAAACCTGATTTAAAAGTAAAAACAAACGTGTTTCTTTTTTCTTATTTATAAAAATTAATGAAATTTAGGTTGTACTTGATGAATTATCAATTCGTATTGATCAAGCAAGATCTTCAAGTGGAATATTAGTAGCTGTACAACAAGCACAACAAAAAACTAAACAGCAACCAAAAAGTAAAATTCGTATAAAAATTTTTCTGTTTTAATAATATTATTTATTTTGTTATTAGTTCCACGTGCGGGTGGAGCGAAGAAAGGTAAACAAGCAGCACCTAGTCGTAGTAAAACCAAAGCAGCACAATGTAAGAATTAATTATTCAGTAAAATTTATATTGTTATATAAATTCTTTATTTTTAGCGGATGATGATGATGATGATGGTTCAAAAGAAAATTCAGATGATGATGAAAATGATTTTAAACAACCGACGAAAAAGGAAGCAAAAATACCAACAACAACTCGATCAAAACGTGGTGCGGCCGTAACTGCACGTAAAAAAGCAGCTGTAGTCGCGAGTGATAGTGACGAAGATGATGATTAACTTGCTTTTTCTTTTTGTTTCTCTCTCTCTCTTTCTCTCTTCTAGAATTAAAATGTATATAAATAATAATTTGGCTATTTTCTTTAGAAATTATACTTTTCTCTTTTTCCTTCTCTTTATATCCTTTATTAGAGAACTTTGTTATGCATAATAGTTCAATTTATTTTGTCTTTGTGTTTCATTGTAAAAAAAATAAGCGTTTTTTGTCTAAATAATGCAAATAGAAGATCTGTTTGTTATATTTGATTTTTTAAACATAGAACATGCACATTATTGATACTGACTATAAAAGAAGAAAATATCTATTCAATTGTTGATAAAAAAATGAAGATGAAACCTTTTGTGCAGCTCGGTGACGGTCTCTGATTCCACTTTATCTATGATCAAATGATGTTTATCTATTCGAAGCTTATGTTGCAAAAAATAAACTTCGTCAACGTGCTCTTATGTGTCATACGGTTATTGTGATGTGTAATGAAAACAAAGATATGTGTCATGCACTCTAGTTGTGTTTAGATATACCACTTTGTCAAACATTGAGAACAATATAGTATAAAATGACACTATTCTAGTCATCTATTTTGATATTATCTACTACTAAAAAGGAAATAACATCATTTACTCAGTATAAGATATTATAACAATGGAATCTAATTCGAATAAACAACATGATAATTCACAAAGTATCTGTCCGTATGTTATTTTTTTTATAACGAACAGTATTTTCATCCTTCAAACATAATTTTATTTATTCTATACAGACCATATCAAGAAATGTCTTCAGTTTACTCATCACATCCTCAGCAACTCATTAGTGGAACTGGTTATATGACGCCAGGTGAATTATACACTCATCAAACACCATTATATAAACCAAGTGGTATTGTTATTAAGTCTACTTTTAACACAGCTGGGATAAATACATTACCAACAGCAATAACAACTAATCTAAGAATGTTTTTAATTATTTCTGGTTTTATCTATTCTTTTTGGGGCATATTAATGGCTAGCCTTGAAATTGCTATTGTTGTCAATACTTATTCAACATACTATCATGGAGCTTGGATAGGTCCTTTTCTGATATTTGGAGGAATTTTTATGATGGTTGTTGCCTTTCGATCGTATTATCTACTAATTCATCTTAATCGAATATATAATGCTAATCTGAATTTTTGTTTACTTGGATTTATTTTGACTATTATTAATTCTAGAACAACACCTCGATGCAGTCCAGATTCTTCATTGTATTGCGATAGTACTTTAACAAATTGTTTAAAAATAACTCTTGCAATTACATTTATACTTGGTTTTCTTCATTCAATAATCAATAAGATTTTCATTTATAAAGAACATCAACAAACAGTATCGAAAGCAAATTCAAACGTTGCAAATTATTAGATTTATTTATGTAAGAGAAACTATACACAATGAATATTGTTTTTTAAAAATGAAAACATAAAATAAAATATGATAAACGAATGCATAGGAGTTTTTGAACAAATTAATAATAATAAATATGAAACACAGATTGAAAGAATTTTAATTTACTTTAAATATAGTGAAACTAGTTGTTTATAACGAAATCAAATACAAAGTTTGAGGTTTAACTTGAGCTTTCGACTCACCCAGAAGTAAATGTGTTTCAATAACAAACGATGTTCTTGATGGTGATAACACGTAAGTAAGACTTCTAGAACTACGACTTTGTAATAACAATTATAATTGTAAGTATAGAATATATATAATACTCACATCCGAACACATTCACCCGCCTACACACTCAAAATGCTATTTCAACTCATTTTATCTATGATCAAATGATGTTTATCTATTCGAAACTTATATTGCAAAAATAAACTTCGTCAACGTGCTCTCATGTGTCATATAGTTATCTCAATGAGTAATGAAAACAACGATATGTGACATGTGCTCTAGTTGTGATTAGATAAGTCAGTTTGTCAAATCTTGAAAACAATATAATATAAAACGACACTATTTTAGTCATCCATTTTCATATTATCTACTACTAAAAAAAGAATAGCACCATTTACTCAGTATAGATTATTATAACAATGGAATCGAATTCGAATAAACAAGATGGTAATTCACAAAGTATCTATCCGTAAGTTATATCTTTACAATAAACATCATGTTCATCTTTTAGTTATAATTTTGTCTATTCTATAAAGATCGTATCAAGGAATGTCTTCACCTTATTCGTCACATCCTCAGCAACTCACTAATGCAACTGGTTATGAGAAATCAGGTGTATTATATACTTCACAAACACCATTATATCAACAAAATGGTATTGCTACTATGCCTACCTATCAAACAGTTTGGAAAAATAAATTACCAACAGCAATAACAACTAATTTAAGAATGTTTTTATTTATTTCTGGTTTTATCTATTCCTTTTGGGGCATATCAATGACTAGTGTTCAAGTTGCTATTGTTATCAATACTTTTTCAACATCTTATTATGGATTTTATTTAGGTGCTTTTCTGATAATTACAGGAATTGTTATGATGGTTGTTGCATTTCGATCATATTATCCATTAATTCATCTTAAACGAATATATAATATTAATCTGTGTGTTTGTTTACTTGGACTAATTTTTTCTATTACGGATTATACAAGATCAACTCGATGCAGTTCTTCAACTTCTTCATCGTATTGTGATGATACTTTAGCAAGTCATTTAAAAATCATTCTTGTAATTACATATGTACTCGGTTTTATTCATACAATAATCAATACGAGCTTCATTTCCAAAGAACATCAACAAACAGTATTGAAAGCCAATTCAGACGTTGCAAACTATTAGATTTATTTATATAAGAGAAACTATACACAATGAACATTTTTTAAAATGAAAACAGGAAATAAAATATGATAAACGAATGCATAGGAGTTTTTGAACAAATTAATAATAATAAATATGAAACACAGATTTGGAAGAATTTTAATTTATTTTAAACATAATAAAACTAGTGTTTTTTATAAAGAAATCAAATACAAAATTTAAAGGTTAATCAGAGCTTTCCACTCAGTCAGGAGTCATCATAAGAAGTTATACTATGTCATACCGATTATAATGCTGTTAATAGTGATAAAACGTAAGTAAGACCTATGGAACTACGATTTTGTGATAATAGTTATAATTGGCGATGACTCCTGGACGACGGGAAAGCTGTAGTAGAACTTTCTATTTGATTTCGTTACAAACAAAGGTGTGGAATATACCTGATACTCATACCTAAACACATCCATCCACCTACGTCCTGAAGATACTAGTGACAGTCATTTTATCTATGATCAAATCTTGTTTATCTATTTCAAACTGATGTGGGAAAAATAAACTTTGTAAAACGTGTTATCATGTGTTATATAGTTATTTCAATGGGTAATTAAAGCAAAGATATGTAACAAGTGTTCTCATTCTGATTAGATAAGTCAGGTTATCAAACATTGAAAACAATGAAGTATAAAAGACAATATTTTAGTCATTTATTCTGATATTATATACTACTAAAAAAGGAATTACATAATTTATTCAGTATAAGATATTATAACAATGGAATTTAACTCAAATATACAAGATCCGTAAGTTATATATTTGTAACAAACATCGTGTTCATTTTTTAGTCATAATTTTATTTATTCTACAAAGATCGTATCAATTATCAACACCAATAACAACTAGCTTAAGAATGTTTTTACTCATTTCTGGTTTTATCTATTCCGTATGGGGCATATTATCGAGTAGCCTTCAAATTGCTTTTGTTGTCAATACTTATTCAACATATTATCAGGGATTTTGGATAGGTGTTTTTGTGATAATTACAGGAATTTTTACGATGATTGTTTCACGTCGATCGTATGATTCCTTAATTCATCTTAAACGAATATATACTATTAATCTGCTTCTTTGTACACTTGGAATTATTTTGCTGCTTATTAATTCTTATAACCAGATACCTCGGTGCGATCTATATTCTCCATTGTATTGTGATGATACTTTAGCAAGTCATCTAAAAATAAGTTTTTTGATTACATTTATCCTTGCTTTTTTTCATGCAACAATCAATCATACTATCATTTCTATGGAACATAAGAAAAAAGTATTGAAAGCCAATTCAGACGTTGCAAATTTTTAGATTTATTTATGTAAGAGAAACTATACACAATGAACATTTGTTTTTTTAAATGAAAACATAAAATAAAATAAATGCTCTTTTCACTTGTTCTCTCTCTCCTCCTTTTCTTCTTTTTTTTTCAAATTTATCAATCTGACATCACCGGAATAGTCTGTTTTATCAAAAAAAAAGAAAGAATGCAAATGACCAAAATAACATTATATTAATTATCACTGGGCTTTTTGGTCATTGAGGGGAGTTGATGTTGAGCTTTGTCGTTTTAATTTCAATAATGTATCAGCTGCTTGACGCATATGCAGTGGAGGATTTGTATTAGTTGTTGGTGATGATATGGTATTTGATGGCTGCGATTGATTTGTCAATTCAAATAATTGCCGTTGTTTGTTTTCATAATCCAAAATATATTTTGGAAATATTGATCGTTCATCAAAAGCAGATTTTAAATCTATAACAGAATAAATCTATTCTATTTTATTTAAAAGAATATATATTTCATTACTTCCACCAATTGTTGTTGCGACTGGACGTCGTCGATTATCATCCGCTGTATTATTTAAACGCCATGCAGAATTCGGATTTGAATGAACTGTTTTTTTTTTGTTCAGGTATTACCGGTGGTTCATATGTTTCAAGAGACTTTATTAAAACAAATAAAATAATTCTAAAGGAAGATATTAAAAGAAAAACGAAACTTACACCATAAGCTCCACCAGGTGCTAAACCTGTTTTCTCCCAGAGTACATAATCTTTTGTCGTTATTAAAGTTGGTTGATTACGTTGTCTTCGATTAGTTCGTTTTTCTTGATAACTTACACCTTAAATAAAGATTTTTATTTAATCGAAAAAAGTTATTTTCTTATACCAATTGATGTTGATTCCCAAACATTTGGTCGTTTAGTTAACATTTCTTCATCAGTCATTGCAAATGAATTAGTAAATTCTGAACCTAATCCTAATCGAGAATCATCATCAAATATTCTTGAATTTTCATGAGAATCATCATCATGTTGACTTTGAACTAATTGTAAATCATCATCAATTCTTTTCGATAAATCAACATCTAAACGCCATTGATGTGGTTGACCAAATATACCATAAGCATTACCATTTATATCCGATAATACGACACTACAATCTGATGATGATGTTAATATTAATGTTCGTGTATCTTTTTCTAAGAAATCAATACATGTGATTGAATCTGAATGTGCAGTAAATTCTGTAACTAAAGCTAAAAAGAACAGAAGATAATCTTCTTTTTTTTTGGGGTGGAAATTTATTTCTACAAACATGGTAAATTTGTTTCAATATTTGATGAATTTGATTGTAAACAATACTGTTCAATATCCCAAATTTTAACAAGACCATTAAGATCACCGGTTCCTAAATATTTATTTCGAGCATCGATTTCCATAATAATAGTTGAAACTAGAAGAAAAAAACAAAAGAAAAATAAAATAAAAAAAAGTGAAATTTTATTATTGATATACCATCATTATGTGCTTGAAATTCTCCTATGAGCTTTCCTGTATGAGCATTCCAAAAGCGAACAAAGCCTAAACCACCGCATGATGATAAATTAGCTCCTGTTGTACTACTAGTGATTGATGTAATGCGCTTATCAAGAAAACATAGCGTTGTTATAGCAAAATCAGCTGAATTGTCTTGTAACTGATATTATCAATGCAGAAAAGAAAGGAATAGCATAAAGCAGTGCAAGCGAAAAGATATTTTATTTTATCCTACTTGTGTTTGACTATTATTTGTAGGACGTTTTCTTTGATCAAGACGACGAATAAATAATTCTGATGAAGTATTCCATATACATATTTCACCATCACTACTACCAGTTGCAAGTAATTGTGGAGAAAATGTTGTTACACTCATGCATACAATATCATCATCATGTCCCTATTTTGAAATAACAGAAAAAATAGATATAAGATTAAGAAATTGAAAAATATGAACTTCTTTTTTATCTTCATTTTTGTCTCCTTTCCATTCTGTTGGAACACCTGGTTTTCCTTCCATTTGTTGTAAATCACGAAAAACAGCTAAATATCTAAAATTTGATTTTATTAGAAAAAAATTACGAATATTTTTCTATTATTATACTTGCTCCATCCAACAGCAAGAATACGTCGTTTTAATGTTTCAATTTGTGTTATTTCAACGGATGTACTATTACCAACATCTAATATTCGTGTAACTCGTCCATTATAATTCCAAATCTAGATTATATATTTATTATTTCTTTTTAGAAAGAAAATATTGAAACTAACTCGAATTTTTCCATCACTTCCGCCTGTATAAAATTTCTCACCAAATTCATCAAAAGCTAAACAAGTTGTATCTATATTTTCTTTGAAATTTTTTTCAGAAAATCGATTCGTTCTTTGTCCTTCCAATGACCAAAAACTAATATCACCAGCTTGACAAACAATCATTACCTATAGAAATTTATACAAGATATTTTCTTATTGAAAAAAATAAATAAATACATACTTGTTTATGTTTAACAAGATATCGAGCAGCAACAATTGGACGATCATGTGTAATAATACGATTTTTACCTTCAGGTTTTATTTCCCATACTAATATATTCGTACGAAATGTTGAAAATAAACGACTACGTACATCATCAAACCAACAAAACATTTCCACTATAAGAAAACAAAAATTTTAAATTAACTGATTCAGTCAAAGATAGTTATGCGAGATTTATTTTTTCAAAATAAAAAGCCTGTATCAAATTGATCTTGTTCCTTATCATCCTTAATAAATTGTTGTTCAATTAGTCTATGCTGAATACATCTGAACAACTATCGAAGGTAAGTACGATCAATGAAGTTTAATTTCGTTTCTATTCTCTTTCTCGTAGAGAAGAATCTTGCAAACATAAATTGCCTGCTTGATTGCTTGTGTGTCCGCAAGGTCAAAAAAACATCGAAAATCGATTTTTCGAAAAAGACATTTCAAGAGATTTTGCGATGCGGGGAGTTCGAATCTAATGTCTGTTGGGTGACAATGGTAGGGGGGGGGTGAGAGGTCAAAAAAACATTGAAGGCCGATTTTCACGGTTTTCTATTATTTTTTCAGTAAATGTGAAGAGGATACATTTCTACGAGAAAGAGCTAAACGAGTCCTCGAACGAGTGTTACCTGTCATCTTAAAGTTAATAATGACATTAGTTTATTTGTCCTATTGGCTTAGATTTTAATAATAATTTTCGTTCGATATCAATTTATCGCTTAGACATATTTTCCAAGATTCAAAAGAGTGTCGATAACCAATACGATCAATTCAATTCTTTGAATATTGTAAGAGAGAATTTATAATGAACACAAAAGTATAAGGATTATGTTTTGAGACATCTGATTGAGTAGGTAAATGCATTTTCCATTTAAATACAAAACAAATTTGAATGACAGGTTCACTTCATTTTCTGATTAGATTTTGTTCGTCTTCGTTTTCTCTTCGTAATTACTTTAATTGTTGATGTGTTCTTGTGCATATATCAAATTTCATCTTTATTTTTCTTTATTCATCAAAAATCATGAATACATTCATAATGATTCACAAATAAAACTGTTATCAGTTTCGTTTTTGTTTTCATTCATCATTTACATTTCGATCAAGCAATTAACAAGTGAAAACATCGAAGAAAAAAAATGATGCGATTTTTACTCTTAGTTATGTGTATAAGTTTATCATCAACAACTGAACATTGGTTTGTTTTTGATCAATATCAATTTCCAGGATTTAATACACCATTATTTACATTAATTTCTTCATCAATTAATCAAACAACTCAAGAAGAACATTTAAATATTTCATTTTCTTTATCAACTTATGATCGTACGATTCTAGTTGATATAACAAAACGAAATTCAAATGGAACAATTCAACAACAAGAACAATTAATTAAATTAAATATTGAACGTGCTGATTTATTATATAATTCTGTTAATCACATGATATTTATTGCTATTAGAAATCAAAATAAACTTGAAACCTATGTTAATTGTAAATTAATTGATTCCTATTTTTTTTATTCAACAAATTTAATTGATGAAAATGAAAATAATTCATTTTATAAAATTGAGAAAATTAATGATAAGATTGAACATTATCAAATAACACCAACATCTGAACAAACTCAACATGAAATATTTGATGCATTTTCATGTAAACAAACGGATATGACGATACCATCAGAAGTAAATTCATCATCAAAAATTGGCCGACCATTAATTCGTAAAATGCAACATGTTATTGAAAAAGTTCAACGTCGTAAATTACGAGCAAGGTAAGAAAAATTTATATGTCATATATTTTCGGTGACCGGACAAAACGCCACAGGCGTATGGTTCAGTGAGGGTGAGGGCGAATATCCATATCAAAGATTTATTAGCAATTCGTGTTGAACCCTAAAATGAGCGGCGACATTTTTTCTTTTAAAATTCTTTAGACGTCAAAATAATCAACAAACATCTTTAACACTTTCATCTGATTCATTAACAATTATCTATAAACCAAATATTGATAAAGCCAATGTTAATAAAACATCATTTTATACAATTTTAAATATTCCACAATTAAAATTTCATATCCAATATTATCCAAAAGAACATCTATTTAATATTCGTTTTAATAATGAAAATCGTACACAATTTGTTTTATTTGCTGATAAATCAGCCGATCGAATATTTTCATCAAATGCAAGTCTTATTATTTTCTTACATATAACATCAACAATGATAACATGTTATGTTAATTGTGAATTAACTGATCAAGAATTAATTATTGATTCATTTTATGTACAAAATATACTACGACAAATTATGGATAATAATCAACATGAATATAATCGACAATCAACGTTAATTCTATATAATAAATCAATTGATCAAATAGCAGCGAATTTTTTTTGTTTAAAATTAGATAAAAAAAATGAAGAATTATTACCAGATAAATATGCATTAAGGTTAGATATTTTATTTATTCAAATATATATATATAAACGAAATTTTTGTTTTCTAGAAAATTTGCAAATGCTTTGGATATACTTGTCAATAGTTTAGATACTTCAAATAATAATGAAAAAACTACTTTAACAATACCGCCGACATCAGCAACAACAACAACAACACAAAGTGTATCGGCTGTAAATATTCCTTTAATCAATGGATTTGGAAGTCTTAAAGCACCTCCAATAAATCCTAATATGGAAACAACAACAATATTTAATGAAATAATTATGTATGATAAAATATGTTCAACAGATGATGATTGTGATACAACGAGAACTTCCATGAAATGTCAATCAGGTCATTGTATATGTCCAAAACGTTTATTTTACTCGAATAATTTACATCGTTGTATAACATGTCATGATTTATTAATTGGTAATCGTTGTTTTCGTTTATCAAATCATAAATCAACATGGTTTGAAGCGAATGATTATTGTCAAGATGATAATACAATCGATGAAGGACAAGAATATACGATGAAATTAGCATCAAATCTTAATCGAACTGATATACAATATCTTAAAGAAAGTTTTCTACTTGAAACTGATCATGAACAACTTGATTATATTTATTGGATAGGTGCAACAAGTAATTTTGATACAAGAAAATTACATCAAATTAATTATCGAAATAAACGACAAATACCAACAACAATATTTCGTTGGTATGATAATGGTGAAACCGCACAATTAAATCTTCATGATATTTGGTGTTCACAAACAGATTATTCAAGTTTAACAACAATAAATAATAATGAATTATGTGTTAGTATTACATCATGTGGTTTATATGCTGATGATTGTCAACGAAATTATCGATTTTTATGTGAAGCTGTTTAAAACAAACAAACATACGCACAGAACTAATTCATCTTTTGTCATTTCTTTTATTATTCAAGATAATTAAATAAAACCCTTTTTCTTTTAATTTTACCTTCAGGTCCACGAGGAAATACATTTGATATACGTTGAAGACATATTTGTAATTGTACATCCCATATACGTAATATTTTATCTTTCGAAAAACTTAATATTTGAGCACGACTATGAATAAATTGAACAAAAAGAACAGAACGCATATGTCCACGAAGAATCTTTAGAACAAAAAAATTGAAATTTTTGTCTATAAAAAGATTTTCTTACTCCATTAGGTTTAGATAAAACAAATGGATTCCATAAACGAACTTCATTATTTGCACCAGCAGTTGCTAAATAAATGATACGAGATATTTATATTCATTTCAGAAAATTGATATGATACTCGTTTGATCATTAAAAAATTTTCTAACTGTAGTCATTAATAACATAGTTTTCTATTTATAGATCTTAGAAAAACTCTTGAGATTTCTCTTACCAATTAATTTAAAATGTTGTGAATAATCAAATGAATTAACACCTTGATCAATTGAAACTGTACTTCTACAAAAAACAAAAGGTCAGTATGAATATTTTATCATCGAATTCTAAATACATACATTTGTTCACGTAATTTTCTATTACGAATTGAATAATTACTATAAAACAAAAGAATAATATATTAATATTTAATTATAATAGAATAAAATTTTTTTTTTGTGCTCCCATTGTTAAATTATTTAAGTTAGTTTATATAACTATCAATAATTATATGTTTATCACTAAAATATACCTTCGATCACGAACAATATCATTACTAAAATAATTTATATACTATATGATTTAATTTATGTAAAATTTCTTTTGATTTTTGTGATAGAAAATAATATAATAAACATACTTTCGAACTGTTGATCCAGCTTTTTCCATCCAACCAAAAGCTAATGCTCTGCCAGTACTTGTTGAACATGATATAAAACATTCGAGTTGATCAGCATATTTAACTAAAAAGACATATCTCAAAATTTATGTTTTCTTTTCAATTAATCGAAGTAAAACCTTTTCGGGTCCATTCTGTATGTGCATTGTATGTTAAATAAGATGCATTTTTATAATTTCCATTAGCTATATCTTCTAATCGAACTTTAGTATATTCTGCAAGAAGAAGAAAAAATTTAATTAAGAAAATGTATATTTAAACAACAGACCGGCATCATTTGTTTGTTGTGCTGGTCGTTCAATTAATGCAATTAGTGCTGAATTGAAAAAAATAGCATGAACATTGCCTTGAACATCTCCCCAACTCAATATCGCATCATTTGGGTTTTCTGTATCTGACCTAAATTATATTCTCATATAGTTTCAAAATAATTAGTTTTTTTATTATTCTAACCAATAATCCAAACAATAGGGTGTAGAAATCATACCAACAATTCGATAAGATAAATTCAATTCAAGTTTTGATGTCATATCATATATTACTTTTGAAGAAAAAAAAGCGAAACATTCAATTAATAGTTTAATAATATTAAAAGATTCTTACTTATTTCTTTTGATGTATAAGAAATAGCAATTTTATTATTATTGGGCATAAATACAAAATCAGTTACCCATAAATCACGTAATTTGCAACTTTCTGTTGTGGTTTTAAATGTTTTATATAATTGTAATTCATCATTATAAATACAAACTGTTCCTTCCTATATAATTTCTTTCGAAAATGAAACGAAACTTTTTTTTCCTTTCAATCATACTTTACTCATTGATACATATCGACCAAAACTATCCATATGTAGAATACGTTTAATAGAATCTCGATGAGCACTAGAGGATAGATAATATAGGAAAAATAATCAACAAAATTTTGAAATTACTTTATTAAACTTTTTCCACCTTTCCAATTTGGTATTGATGTTGCTTTTTGTCGATCATCATTATCAGCTAATTTTAACATTGTATATTCAGCTAATTTATCCCTAAAAGTAAATTTCTATTTAAAACAAGAATTTAAAATATTAATTCTAACCATGAAATGTAACCTTCTTTAGTTACATCTACACTTTCAAATAATTCATCATACTATAAAAGAGAAAATTTGGAATTAAAATATGTTTAAAAAGAAATGTATAACGTACATCTTTCACACTTCCACGAGGTATTTTTTCACGTAAAAATTCAATAAATTGTTCTTTATTAAGAACTTGATTCCCTGCCTAAATAAAATATAATTTTGAAAAACGAAATTTTATTATGAAAATTTCTTTACAAATCCTTCTAAACGTAACGTTTCAAGATCTTCTATTCGTAATAAATTTTGAATTGCTATTCGTTCATCTTTAACTTCATCGAGACTAGATAAAATTGAAATAGGAATTTAAAAAAAGAAGATTTTTATACAAACTTTGATAAAGAACTTAAACTTGTTGAATGATTAATTAGTCCTTTAAATTTAGAAATGGCAGCAACTCCTTTTAAACCAGTTGATAATGGTACGGATAAACGTGGTTTATCACTCATATTCGTTTTCTGTCACCGGTGAAAATAAAAACTTTATTTTTTTGAAGTGGTTTTATTAAAATGACCTTCGCCATTAGTAATGTCAGTTGTCATAACAAACTCTCATTCCTTTTTTTTCAAAGAAAGCGAGATAAAATATTTAATAAATAGATATTAGCTTTCTCTTATTAAATATTAAATATAGATTTATTAATTATAAGAAAATAAAAATAAACGATTCATTCTTATCGGAGAGGTCGCTAAATATAATCAGGGAGGCGTTATATCCACGTAATACGGATTGGTTTATATTCTAGGGCTAAATAATACACATATATATGTGTATGCTCCTCCTTCGATAGTTCATTTCATTCGTATTCTAAACTTTATCATCACAGGGATAAAGTACCCGACACTCTTTTTTTCTTATTCGAATAAAACTGAATTGTGATTTTACGAAAATTTCATTCAACAAAGTCAATAACAAACAAATGAATATATCATTATTATTTTATCAAAAGGTAAACATATTTCTGTATTATATATTAACAGAATCCATATAATTATTATAAAAAAAAATCGAAATTATATTTTTTTTTAAAAATATGGATCTATATTTTCTTCTGTACTAATGATGATACAACATGCACCACTCTGATTCCATCAGATTTGAAGATAACTCAATCTCATATTGAAATCTGAATACAGAAAATATATAATTTATTGTTTTTTTTATATTTCGGCTTAAAAAACAGTTCTATGACGAACCAAACGACGGTCTTCAGAAAAAAATGATCGATAAAAACGATTATTAACCCAATAAATCTGAGAACTGTATAAAATTCTAAATTGTTATAGCAATAAAATCATTTAAACAGCTATTATTACGAATTAGAAATATTACGTAATCATTTTAAATAATGCTAACGGCACATATTGTAGAGTTTGTCATACTTTTCAATGTGTGGCAGATGTGGATAAGTGTGCGACAGAAAAAAGGACTTGATCTGAATCGCAAATTTGAAAAGAATGTTCTATTCTATTCATTGTTCAGGTCAAGTTTAACACGTCTCTCGATATGTTTATTATCTATTTAAAATTGATAGTTATATGTGTATTAATTTTATTTGATTTACCTTTAGTTCAACGATAAAAAATGAATTGAAATAATTCTATGCACAAAGATTTGATGTGATCATTTCAAGAAATGCAAGGAACATATTCATTCAACAAAAGTACGTATCATCTTTCATTACTTAAAAATATGAAATAATCGTTTGAAGAAAGTTTCGATTTCAAGGTGACGCGATAATATAACATGTTTTTTCATAGTTTAGTTAGGATATCAGTTCGATGACGAACCAAACGACGGTCTTCAGAAAAAGTATGATCGATAAAAACGATTATTTAACCCAATAAACTGAGAACTGTGTTTTTTTTCTATAAGAAATATTTCAAAGGCAAACATCTAAAACCTTTTCAAATTTCTATATTAGAAATAGGCTTCGCTTGTTTGCAATATTAATAGATGAATTATTACCGGGCGAGCTCGACTCTCGATGAAACTACGCCTAAATATAATTTCATACATTTCATTTTATTCTTCTATAGAATTACAATAGATAATATACAGAAATCTAAAATAAAATTTTATTTTCAAATTAAAAAAAGAAAACGAAAATTACATTCATTCAACTTTAACTAGTTCAATATCAACGTCTTCCGCTAATGAAATATCTGTATCATTTACATATAATAATTTATCATTTCGTTCAATACTCGCTGATAGTGTTATTCCACCTGGAATTGATTTAATTTGATCGAAATTCATATGTGCTCTCTTTGGTTCATATGAACATTGATAATAAATGGGTAATCTTTGTCCATTATAAAGATTTATACTAATTGAACCTAATTCAATACATTCGGCATCATGTCGAAGTGAATCACGAACAGAAATATAAAGAATTTCATCACCATGAAAATTTTCTTGTTCACCTTTGATTGTAATTTGACCATGAACTTGATTTTTGAGTGGGGTAGCCATTTTAACTATACGTAATGAAAATTGTGTGCGTTTTATTTTTTTTTAAAGAGAGAAAAGTGAGCAACAAATCGTCGTTAATAATTGAAGAAAAAGAAATGAATTGAGTTCTCCTATTTCAAGGACAAAGAAAACCTTTTTTTTCTCTTTCTACGTTTCTGACAACAACAAAACAGATGTGTTATGTTATTTTAATAAGGCCTCTTTGGGAATGCATTTCTATTCTGATGATTGTAGACTTACATGTAAACAGAATTGAGTGCACGAAAATATGAAAATATTATACAAAAAGCAAATATTATTCACTTTTTTTCTAGTTCAAAATGTAACTAAAATATTATGATGAAATTTCTATATGTCTATCAACATATAAGAACACGTGATTTGTAATATATATTTATATATATATATGCATATCCAGTATTTGATATCGATAAATACTGTTAAATAGTTTCTATATATATTATAAAGTAAAACGTTGTTATTTTTTAGTTATTGCGATATTGTTTAATTCATAATTTTATTGTATTTTTACTCTAAGAGATTTAAAAGAAATAATTTTCATGGACTTCGTCATTGATTTATTTGCGTTAATTAGATCATATTTTATAAAAAGAAGAAATCCTCTTTTTCATCTAATTAAATCTAAGATATTTTTTGTCATTAAAAAGTTTCGCAAAGCGAGAAGACTTGAAGCCATGTAGTATTAACGACGACGTGCAATAACTCGGCGATAGCGACCAGGTGGAAATTGTCCATTCTGTCCAGGTCCAAAAGGTCCGCCAGATCCACGAGGTCCACCCATTCCACCGGGTCCACCAAATCCACCGGGGCCGTTAGGTCCATATGGATTACGGCCAGGCATACCGGGTTGAGCACCAACACCAGGTCCATTTAGAGGACGTACACCAGGTTGTACAGGTGCATTTATAGGATTAGGATGAATAAGAGGTGCTGCCCCTTGACCACCTCCCATTGCAGCTGGTAGCATTGCTTGACCAGCAAGAGTTGGTAAGGTTACGAATTGTTCAGCTGGAACGGTATAAGCATAAGCTGATTCAGGATTATAAATTGTATGATGATGAGCAGCCTGGCTGTGATGATGATGACCAGTATGATACGTTGGTCCTCCTCCTGGTAAAAGTACAGTATGTACTACAGCTGGAGCTGGAGGTGGTATAACAGCTGGCGCAGGAGCAACGGGAAAACTAGCAGGTGCTGGTCGTGGATATCCTCCTTGTCGTGGATACCCTCTTTGTCGTGGATATCCCCCTTGTTGTGGATATCCCCCTTGTTGTGGAAATCCTCCTTGTTGTGGAAATCTCCCCTGTTGTGGAAATCCTCCTTGTTGTGGAAATCCGCCTTGTTGTGGAAATCCCCCCTGTTGTGGAAATCCTCCTTGTTGTGGAAATCCTCCTTGTTGTGGATATCCCCGAGATCTTGGTGGTCCTGATGGACGTCGACGAAGAGGTGCTGGTTGCATTTTGTTTACAGGGTGACTATCAAGCACCTTACTTTTTTATGATAATAAAAAGAAACTACAAAATATAATAAAACGCCACGAGCTACGCTTCAGTGCTTCACTCAAGCATGTTAGTTATCATTAAGACATGATTTTTTTTCAATTACAGACACACGTCGCATACAAAAACTAACGATCACCTTTAAGAAAAAAGTTAGAAAGTAATTTCAAGGTTACACATGCTATCATTTTTTGTTATTGTCAAATAATATTCGATTAGCTACATGTCATAGTAGTAAAAAAACATATTTTACCTAAAAGATCATTATCTATTTTTGTTGTTTTTTACGTCGATAGATGATTCAATATATGACAAAAAAATACTTCCTTTTTTTGCGTAATTAGTTTTAATCCTAAGCATTTTAAACTAATTTAATTCAAATAGAAATCAGCGTTTAAAAAAGATAAATAAAGAATAATTTTACCATTTCATCCTAATGATTAAATATTTTATTATTATTCTCGTTTTTTCTCTTTTATAGATGCAAATGGGTGTTGAAATTTAAATTCATTGGTTTAAGACATGATTTAGTTTTTACATTGATATTATAATTTATCAATCCTGGTAAGAATAAAAATAAGCATTTCATATAATATAAATGACTCGTTTACAGCCTCGATAAACAAAACTAAAATCAAACTTCGTATGATGAAAACTTTTGTCTTGAAATATTCGATGATTTATCGACATGATTAGAGTCGCTGACGAAGTTTATCTATTGAGACCTATTTACCTTTTCGTTTTGCTAACCACTAATAAAACAAATTAAAAATGTTTTTCGCATAATTTAGTACTTATCTATGAGTATTAGTTTTCATTGAGCTTGAAGCATATCAACAAATTCAGACGAACCATAACTAATAATGAATTGATTTTAACTTTAGATAACAACATTATTTGTTAATCGTCAAATACACATACAAAAGTAAAAAGAATTATGTAAGTCATCTTTTTTTAGCATTATCTTATCTTTAATTTGAATGTCATAAATTCTTAGAAACGAATATTGATTTTATTTTTTTTTGCATTTTAATTTCAGATAGAAAAATATTTCTTATGGATCAATATTTTGGAATTTCAAAAGCAATTGATGAAGGAATGTATGCAGATGAAAGTGGCGGTAATTTTGATGATTATGATGATGATATGGGTGTTGGAAGTGGTGAAGCAATGATGCGTATTGATTCATCATCAACTACTGGTTTTATGTCTCATCATCCTCATCATATGACATTAATGGCAGCTGAAAAAATAGTTCATACTGATTTTTTTAATGATTTTGGGGATCTTTTTGATACGGATAATTTTGCTCTTAATGCGACAACAGCAGGACATGTAACAGCTTAAATTTTATATATATATATAAATCGGACTAATGTGTATTTGTTTATAAAGCAGAAAAAAAAATAAAATGAATGATTTTTAATCAAGAAATATTTTTAAAAATGATTTAAAGATTATTACTAAATAAATATATCAACAATATAATTGACTATGCATACAACAATCTAGATATAAATGAATAGATTTTATGATGTGAGAATGTGCCTAGAAATATGCAGATGGTATTTTAGAAAAACATTATTGTACCGTTAGCGTGTTTCTCATAATGGAATAAATATCTGATAATTATTGTCTATTGCTCTTTGTTCTCTAGAAAACAAGTCGTATGATATATTTAGCGACAGTTAAGACAGATTGTTCGTTTCTCATAGATGTAGTATTTAAAAACTTGTTATTTCATTATTAATTGTAAAGACGAGAAAAAAGATCATGTATAAATCATTAATTCTTGTATTGGTTGTTCTTATTGGTGCTGTTGCAGCTGATAAGCGTCCATTGAAATTACAATCAAGTCATATTCAACGTATTGGCAAACCACTTCATCAAGGAAATGTCGGTCTTGATTGGTGTCCACAATGTATCGACACTTGGGATGATATAGTTCAAGTTGTTCTTGATGTCATCCTTCAGTATGGTGTTTTGGATACATGTGGTGATTTATGTGCTATTGTTGAATCAAAAACAGGCTCCGGAGTTCTCGGATTTATTTGTAACTTTGGTTGTGACTTTTTGGGTCTTGATGAATTTATTAAATTAATGAATAAAGCCGATATTGATCCAATTTATTACTGTGAAAAAATGAACTTTTGCCCAAGTAAGTCATAGAAGTTCTATTAAAACTTGAAAAAAAAAGAAATTTTTAATTTTACAGTTAATGATAATGGTGATGCGAAATTTAAATCTTTTGCCGTTCTTCCACCACGTGCAAAAATTGGTACTAAAATTGCTATTGATTTCGTTTATGTATCAAAAAATGGAACTGGTACTGGTGAAATGATTCTTTCGATTCAAACTGTTGATAAAGTTCCACTTTCTGCTGGCTTATTAGTCGAAGCACAAAAACCTGGTACATATGGTGACCGTATCGCTATTGATACTTCTCCAGATCCAGAGTGTGATCCTACCGAAAGTAAAAAATTCTATTTCAATCAATGTTATTATTCTATGAAATTATTTTTCTATAGGTCAATGTGAAGAATGGTTACAAGGTGTTTATAATGTTACAGTAATACTTTGTAATGGACAATGCGGTTCACATCATCCACATTCAGCTATTTATGATACAGCTCATGGTTCTTTTTCACTTTATGAATAGTAATTGTGTGTAGTTTTATTAAGAAAAATAAACAATAAGAATTTTCATATGAATAAATAAAATCTCATCTATATTCTTACAGCACATTTTATTGATAATTCATATTCTGAAATATCATGATAACATAAATAAACAGATGCAAACGACTTAATAAATATTTTAAATTGTATTTTCTTTTGAAAAGCTATGGCACACGTATGGCAATCTCTAAGGAATAATTACTTTTATGTTATTATTATTTTCTTGAGCAAATATATGATTGATGATTTGATTTCTCAGCTATTATTCTGCTTTTAGAAGAAAAATTTATTTTTGATTTATGCTCTACTACTAATTACAGCATGTTCAATACGAATATATGATGTTGTAGTTGAAAAAAACCTGATTAAATGTCATATCTCATATTTTCTTTTTTATATTTACGAGCTTAAAAAGATAATCAATGAAAAAGTCAAATCAGATTGTTTTTTTTCTCATCATAGACATTTCAGACTATTGATAAGGACTAAATCTAAAAATAACAACACACAATTACGAATATTGATATAGATGTCTTATTTCAAAATTAAATCGTACCATAGTTGATATTAATCTTTGTGCTATGCATTATTGCTAATAAACTGATTGGAAAATTCTTAATAATCTTGATTAATTTCTTTGTTTCATGAATCTTTTTCCTTAGTAGCAACTTATGATGTTTGGCTATCGACATATATAATGTCACTACCAAATTTTATAACTGAGAATACAGTTCACATAACTAAGTTCTTTCAGTTACAAATATATAGATTTTATTATGTAGTATATGAAAAAAAGGATAATATCAAAAGTCGATGAAAATATATAGGAAAAGTTTTTAAAATTCAATTAGTAATCAACTTAAAATATGAACATATACATAAACTGAAGTAACAAAGGATTGACTATTTTTATTTACTATGAAAATTCTGAACGAAAAGGTTTACTGATTAAATATTCTATCTATTAGTTATTAATGTTCGAATCTAAAATGAAGATTCTATTGCTTTTAAAAATTGTTAACTAACTATGTTTTTCTTTCTGATATTCATTTCGTCAAAACAGTTTAGTTTACTGATAATAACTAAAATGAAAAGACTAATCAATAAATCGAATGATTATTAAATCAAGGTGAAAAACTAATAATAATATTGTGTGAAAATTCCACCATTTGTGCTGATTAACTAGTTGAAGTACATAGTCCCAACAACATCAGACAGCTTGTCTGTTTCTCATAGAAGGTTTATTTAAATGAATTACCAGTTCTATTGTTTTTCTTTATTAACGTGCAGAAAGAAAGCAACAACAATAAAACAATGTACAAAGCTTTGATATGTATATTGCTTGTGATAATTGGAGCTACGTATGCTTCATATCCAATCGCTAAACAACCAAAAAAACTTCAACGTCTTCCTTCAAATTATGGAGAAACAAAAGTTGGCATTGATTTGTGTCCAGAATGTATTGAAGAAGCTGTCGAAATAATTAATGTTATACTTAATATTATTCTTGATGAAGGAATTATCGAAACCTGCGGTGAATTATGTGGACTTCTTGCTAATAAAACTGGTTCGAAAATTATTGGCGATGTTTGTGATGTTGCATGTGAAGCATTTGGTCTTGATGAATTTGTTAAGGCACTTATCAAAGCTGATCTTGATCCAATTTGGTATTGTGAAATGGCTGATCTTTGTCCAAGTAAGACAAATAAATTTAATCGTTTTTTTCTTGTAAAATATACAAAAAATATTTCTAGTTAATGATCATGGTGATGCTAAATTTACCAATTTTCAAATTACACCTAAAACTGCACCTGAAGGTTCAACATTTGTATTTGATTGTTCTTTTACTAGTGTCAATGGTACTGGAACAGGTGTAATTAATATCGTAATGATTGATCCTAAAAATCGAACTGCAGCTAATCTTTATTGGTTTGAAGCAAGAAAACCTGGTACATATCCAGAAAAAATTGGTTTACAAACTCTATTTGAACTTGATTGTGATCCTACACAAGGTAAGAAGATGTTTATTTGCATTGACTTTGATAAATATTATCTTATATTCTATTCATAGAACTTTGTGATGGTTGGGCAATTGGTACTTATAATGTTACTGCACAAGTATGCAATGGAGAATGTGGTTCACATCATCCACACTCATCGACTTATGATACAGCTACAGGCTCATTTGAAATTACAAAGAAGAAAAATAGTTTTTTAAAGAATATTACTTTTTTGTGAAAAATTTATTAGATTAATAAATATTATTTTGTTGATAAAGAACACTTATTAAAAAATAAAATATATTCCATTGATGAAAGCATTCATGTCTAATTCTAACTTACAATATATAATTGATTTCTTCTGTTAACACCATGCATATTTTTCTATTCATATCGATAGAGATATATGATAAATTGTATAGCCCAGATTAATTACGTATTAATATAATCAGTGTCCTATTTAGTTTCAAATAAGTACGAATATGAAGAATGGCGTAAAAGAGTAATAAACCAGTCTTTTCGGTTATATTGACATTATAACTCTTCATCAATATGTTTATAATTTATCATAAAATATACGATTTCTTGATATTGTGAATTTTTACAGAGAATATTGATAGAAAACTATTATACAATTATTAGTACTTTAGATTGGTATTATTTGAAATATTTTCATGACCTTCAAGTATGAATAAAATATTTTTCGACCTAGTTATTGAGTGTTTTACTTCTTCAGAAAATGGGTCAATTTTTCATCTGATGCTATTTTAGTTTAGAATAATACCGAACATAAAATAAAAATATTTTGAAATTGATTATGATAAGTATGAATTAATCAAGGAATAATTAGTAATCTGCTTTTGGCTATAGACAATGTTTGAAATCAGATCAATGATATTCGAGGGATTTATTTAAATTTCTAGAATCAACGATTATCTTTTTTTTAATTCAATAACGACATTTAACTGCGAATATTTTTTTAATATCTCAAAGATAAAACTAAAAGCAACTTCACAATAGCCTAGAATGTGCTAGATTTTATAAAAATCCCATAGAAGAATAATTTATGAGAAAATCGGACCATTTGTGTAAGTTTATTGTCAATTTATTTTAGCTTTCTTCAAACGCAAAGCAGCTGATAAGATTCTCATCAAGATGATATTTAAGTGTGTTGTGTTCCATCAATCGGCATCTTTTATCAATTGTAAAAATCATTAGTAGAAGCAATGTATAAGGCTCTTACTTGTGTTCTTATTGCTCTCGTTGGTATTACCAGTGCTTCAAACGTTTTTAACGTTAAATCATACAATATCCAACAAGTTGCATCACCATTTGCTCAACCAGAATTACGTCTTACTCTTTGTCCAGCATGCATTGATATTGCTGATCGATCAATCAATGTTTTGCTCGAATTGATTCTTGATACTGGTATTATTGGTTCATGCAGTGCATTATGTCAAGCTTTAGGCCAAAAAACTGGATCAGCTATCCTTGCTACAGTATGTGATTTAGTATGTGACGTTGTTGGTATCGATGAATTTATTAAAATGATTGACAAGGCTGATATTGATCCAATTTGGTATTGTGAAATTGCTAAAATGTGTCCAAGTAATAAAATATTTGTTCCATAAAATTATTCAAAAAAAAATAAAAAATATTTATCTTTATAGTTAATGATCATGGTGATGCTAAATTCACCAAATTTACAATCGCACCAGCTTCTGGTCCAAAAGGAACAACATTTACATTTGACTTTGCCTATACATCCGTAAATGGAACTGGCACTGGTGAACTCGATATTGACATTCAATGTCCAGATAAGATTCCAATTGGTACTGGTTTCTTATTGGAAGCTTCGAAAGCCGGTACATACGGACAAAAAGTCACTGTTAAAGCTGAACCTGATCCACATTGTGATCCTACACAAGGTAATATTCTTCTTATTATAAAAATATAACGTAAGATATTTATTTTCAATATTTTTTATTAGAAATGTGTGAAGAATGGTTACCAGGTACTTACAATGTAACAATTCAAGTTTGCAATGGTGAATGTGGATCAAAACATCCCCATTCAGCTATCTATGATACAGTTAAAGGATCATTTGTACTCACTAAATAATCAATAACTCATTTATTTTTATGTTTGCAATAAAATTTAGTATTCGATTTATTGCGTATATATCTTTTTATTCTTCAAATAAAAATATCGTATATCTTAATTAGGAAAAGTATACGTTTCTCATATATGAATCATTGAATAGAATAGTTCTCAATGGTAGAATTAAGATAAGATATGTTAAAAATGATAGATAAAAGTTTTATTATTAACGTTTTGTTTAAAAAATACAAATTTGTTTTATTCACCAAATAAGAACACGTTTAGAAGGTTCTCGATACATTTCATCTGTTTTCGATACATTAAAAGTTTCATAAAATCCCTTCATATTTGATAATGGTGCATTGACACGTAATATAGCTGGTGGATGTTCATCTGTTTTAAGTAAAGTAAAAGTTGATGCTTCGGTTCTTTTTATTCTTGATAGACGTGCATAAGATAAGAAAAATCGTTGATTTGGTGTCAAACCATCAATTGGTATTCCAGCTTTAGCTTGATCAGTTTGTAGAAATGCTTCGTATGCTACTTCAAGACCACCAAGATCAGCAAGATTTTCTCCTAAACTTAAAAGTCCATTAACAGATGTACCAGAAACATTAAAGCTACTATATTGATCAATAATAAGTTTTGTACGAGAATTAAATTCATTGATATCTTCTGGTGCCCACCATGAAAAAAGATTACCATTTTCATCGTATTTTCTACCTTTATCATCAAATGAATGTGTTAATTCATGACCAACGACAGCACCCATTGCGCCATAATTGATTGCATCATCGGCATCAAATATAAAAACTGGATCTTGAAGAATAGCAGCTGGAAAATTAATGGAATTAAATAATTCAGACTAAAAAGAATAAATATTGATTCAAGATTTTTCAAGTTGAATAACAAATACTTACATTATATGCATTGACTGTTTGTGGTGAGAAAAATATCCATTCATTTCTATCAACTGGTTTATGTAAATCATTAATTTTTTTTCTATATGTATATTCAAATATACTCGATATTGAATCAAAATAAGATCGTCGATTCATATGAATAGTATCATAAGTTTTCCATTCAGATGGATAACCTATTTGTGTAGTTACTTTATCTAATTTTTTTATTGCTTTTTCTTTTGTTTTATCACTCATCCATTCATTACGCATAAGACGTTCACGATAAACCTCAATTATATGATGAACTAGTTTTAATGTACGTTGTTTAGCTGAACTAGAAAAATACATTTCAACATATAGCTGTCCTAATGATTCTCCAATATAGTCATTGATATTTTCAATAATTTTCATCCATTTTGGTTTATCTTCTAATCTACCATAAATAATATGATCAAACATATAAAATCGAGCTTTAACAAAATCTTTATTTAAATAATTTGCCATTTTATGTAAAATTGTAAAACGAATCTTATTTTTCCATGTATTCAATGATTGACTAACAATTAATTTTTCTAATGATTGATAATAATCTAATTGTGATACAACAACAGTTTGATTTACTATTTCTAATACATTAAATATACGATGCCAACCAAGATTTGGCATCATACGATCAAGTTCATCAACTGTATATTTTGCATAATTTTTTTCTGGATCACGTAATTCAGCAGGTGAACGATGTGAAACAGCTAATTGTGCTTCAAGTGTTAAAACATCTTCGGCATCCATTGAATTCGTTGTTTTATTTACAATATGATTTGTTAAATTAAGAAGACGATCAATATAATTTATATAATTAACACGAATATCTTTTGATCTAACATCATTACGAAAATAATAATCACGTTCAGGAAGTACAAGACCTTTTTGCTAAAATAATAAGAATAAGAATTAAAAGACAACAAAATCAAATGTTTTATATTACTTTCCAACTGGCGATATTAACTAATGTATTTCGATCATCAGCAAAAACATCAAATTCAAATATTAGACCAATATTCGTTTTCTTATACCAATTAAGAACAAATAGAATTAATTCTTGATATGTATTTACATTTTCAAGTTGAATTAATATTTCTTTTAAAGGTTCAATATTAAGTTGTTCAATAGCTTGTTCATCAAGACCAGATAAATATAAATCAGCAAGTTTACGTTGTAATGAATCAACTGGATGTGGTGCTTCTGATGTTCCATTATTTGTTAAACCATCTAAGATACCTTTTAATTTATGTAAAGTTTCATATGTCATTGTATAAATACTCCCCCATTGTATTTGAGATGGTGGAATAACTGTTCGATTCATCCAACGACCATTAGTAAATGTAAAAAAATCATCTGTAGGGCGAATAGACCAATCAAGATCATTCGGATCAAAATGAGATGTACTATTAACCGACATAATAAACCAAGTACACAATAGCGAAAGATAAACTGAAGTTAACGATCGCATAACTTGGCTATTTTAATTGTAGAAAAAAAAGAACGAAAACAAGAATTTACACATATATATATATATATGTACATATGTACATATCGGTCTATTCATGTCAATGAATTTTAAATTCTCTCTCACAGAAAAATGATTTAATCGATCTAATAAGGAGAATAGAAAAATTGTCGCTTCTATCGTACATCTTTTCCACAACAAAGACGACAAACCATTTCTTGTATTGAAATACTACATGTAATCGTTGTAGTACTAATAGTATGAATTCCGGAAGCATAGAGAAGGAAGAAGAAGCAGAAGAAGAAGAAGAAGATTACTTGCTCCTTTTTTTTTCTCTTTTTTGGAATTATTCGATCGTTGTTAAGAAAAAAGACGGAAAAAAAAGAACAGGAAAAGAAGAAAAAACATCGACAAACATGTTTGACGTTGTTCAATAAGAGAAAAAAGATCGTCTTTGTTACTAAACTTAGTTGTCGATGACGATCAACGAAGATGAGAATCGTTTTTTTTCTGCATTATATTATCATAGTTACAATTAACAGATTTTATTTAACTAGTAAGTAAATGAGAATTTAGTTAACGAAGAAATATTTCTTATTCATAATAGATACATGCAATTCTATATACTATCCACCAACAGAATGTATTGATAAACTTGATCATTATGAATGTATTTGTCGACAAGGTCAATTATGGAATGGATATTCATGTGTTGGTATGAAATAGAAAATAATTATTTTTCTGAATAGAAATCATTCATTTTTCTATTTTTCAGCTGATGCAGTTGATTCAAGACTTGTTTTTAATGGAAGTTATTTTCCATCATATATTGAACTTGATAGTAAAACATTTCCACGTATTTCAGAATTAACAATTTCATTTTGGATACGAATATGGCCTAAATTAGATTCACTTTATCATACAATTCTTTATTATAAAATAGGTTTTAAAATTCTATTTTTTTGCGAAATATTTCTTTATTTATTAATTATTATATAGATGATCATCCTCCTGTTTTATTAGTTTCAATAATTGATAATTCTCGTTTACATATAGAATTATTAAATCATATTTATGATGTATCAACACCATTGCCAATGAATCAATGGCATCATGTTTCAATTGCACATCATCTTTCACGAAGTGAAGGTATCAAAATTATGATCAATGGTTCTCTTGTTGTTGTTTTAATTTCATCAAAACTTTCTTCACATGATAAACGTAATCATCACGCAATTATAAGTAGTGGTGGTGATTTTTTTGTTGGTCAAACAATACGTACAATAAATGTGACAAGTATTAGTACAACAGAAGATTTTGAATTTGATACACAACGAGCATTTTATGGTGAAATTGCTTTTTTAAATTTATGGCAAAAAGTTTTATCTGAACATGAATTATCTCAATTAGCAACTGATTGTCATGTACAAAGACAAGAATGTGGTGATGCTGTTCCTTGGATGGATTTTGTTAATGATATTAAAGGTGGAATTAAAATACATTGGCCATCAGGACTTTATTCATTATTTTGTAAAAACAAATAAAATTTCTACTATAGATAATCAATTCTTTTATTTAGCTAATTGTCCAACACAACCAATGCTTCATGAATCCTGTAATAATTATTGTCGGAAACTTGAAGGTTTATTTTTCATTAAATTTTTCATTTAAATTCAAATATTTTCCATTTCTTAGGACCTCATTGTAAAAATGAAAGTCAATTGAGTATAATTTGGCAAAAAGCTGCAGCTGGTGAAAAAGTTGTAAAACATTGTCCGGGACATGTGAAAAATGGTAGTGCATATCGAACATGTCGACGTATTGAAAAAATAGCACTTTGGACAAATATCGATTATAATGAATGTACACATCCATTAATAAATGCAATTGATCAAGAATTAGAAACACCAACAACATCGAATAAAGAAGATATGATTGCACTTCGTGATAAATGTGAATTTCTAGCTGATGTAACAACAATGAATTTAACTACAACACAATTATATAGTACAATTGATCTTATTTTACTTATTGAACAAATTGAACGATTAAGAAATATTTTAGTAAGACAAACTTTTTGTTTTTTTTGAAAAAAAAAGAAAATATTTTTGTTTTTTTTTAGACAAGTCATTTTGATAGTTTAACACAATGGTATTCATCAGCTTATGAACCATTTTATGCAGCTGATGTAAATGCAACTCTATCTATACATCGATATTTAGTTGAAACTATATCAAATTTAATTGATGAAAGATATTTATCATTATGGATTGGAACAAATCCATTAGGCAATGATTTTATTCGTTTATTAACTGCACTTCAAAGTATAACTATGACTCTTGGACAAGTCTTAGTTAATGATTGTAAACAATTTCCTGGTTGTGTACATAATATCTATACACCAAATATAAATCAAACAATAAATATATTAAATCGACAAGATTTAAATTCATTTTCTTATGAAAATATTGATACGCAAACAAAAGTTGGTTTTATGAATATAAAGAAAATTCCAAATAATAATAATAGAACAACATTAAATTATGATGATAAAAATAATGGTAAGAATAAATCTATCAAAAATAATAATATATATAAATATTTAATCTAGGTTCTGGTTGGTATTCTGTATCTATTACAAGTATACGTACAGCTCATCTTTATATACCAAATCTTCGATTAGGACGGTAAAATAAATATTTTAATTTTCGTAAATAAATATATTCGATTTATAGAATTTCGAAATATGATAATATAAATAGTCATGTTATTTCAATTGATATTAAACTTCGTAAATCAATTCAACAAACAGATCGTCTTTCAACACTTGTACCAATTAGTAATATACCTGTATTTATAACAATGGGTTATTTAAAAGTAAAATTTTTGTTCTAAGAAATAATTTAAACTATATTTTTTTCTATGAAATAGTATGATAATATCTCAGGTAATCAATGTGTTTATCTAGATACAACTAATGTATTCACAAATAAACAATACAAGTATATATGAAAATTGAAATTTATTTTATTTAATATCGTTTTTTCTTTCTTCAGAACAACACTTTTTCGTCAATGGGCTTGGCAAAGTTTACCATCGACATGCAAGATAAATGCAATTCCTATGTCTGATAAAGCTACATGTTCATGCTTAATTTCAAATGCAACAATTGCCATTACAAGCGATATGTTTGATCCAAAAGTAAATGAAATATTTCTTTATTATCTTATTGTTGATTTAAATTTAGTGGCGTCCACCGGAATCTCGAATGTATCTGTTTGGTATATTTTCTTATATTGGTTCATTTATTCATATATTGTTTGCATTACTTACATTAATTATGTTGAATTATCTTCGGTAATTTAAAAGCTTATTCAAAAATTTCTCCTAATGATTTTTGTTTTAGAACTCACTCATCAGCAGCATATATTCATAAACATTATTCATTTGTTTTATGTTGTTCACAAGTTATTTTAATTTTAGCATTCAATGGTATACCATCTAAACATCTATTTCTTTGTCGTGCTGTAGCATTTACAGCACATTTTTTTATACTTTCATCTTATTGTTGGTTAATGAATGAAGCATTTAATTTATATATTCAAATAACTTATTCAACACATCCAGCTGTTGCTGGTGCGAATGCAGCTCTTTCCGATGCTGCTTCAAAATATCGATTTTTGGGAATGGGTTATAGTAAGCAAAAATTTCCGACAAGAAAATCTTTTTATAAATATCTCTCTCTCTGTATAGTTTTACCTTTTTGTATTGTAACATTATTGGCATCAATTAAAAAATCAACATATTTTTTGCCAGTAAAACTACATTTATGTTTTATTGATCTTGATGATTGGTTTAAAATATATTTTATGCCGATATTAGGAATTATATTCGTATGTATAAATTTACGAAAAAACAAAACTTTTATTTTGCGATTATTTGAATAGATTACAATTATGGTCATGATTTTTTCAGCTAAACAACATCATGAAAGTTCTTATACAAAAAATGAAAAAGCAAATGAAGTTATTGTGTAAGTATTTTAGAAAAAAAATATGAATTTATGATTTATATTTTAGAACGTATACTGGTGGTATTTGGTCTCAATTATTTTTAATAACAGTCAGTTGGTCACTCGCCATTTTTCCTTATTTTTATGATGAAACTATTCTTCGATTATTACATGGATTTTTTAGTAGTTTACAAGTAGAAATTTAAAATTTAATTTTTTTTTCTTAAATGATTTTTATTTTGCTTATAGGGAGGTTTTCTTTTTCTTTCATTTTTTTTGTTTAATGATGAGGTAAAATTATTCCCTTTTTTTTCTACATCTAAACTTTTTTATTTTGTTATCGAAAATAGATTCGTCGTCATTATCGTGATCGTCGTCGTCAGTTACGTCGTATACAATTAACGGAAGTTCCCTATCGTACTTCATCAGCAGAATCTGATGGTCAACGTTCATCGATTATTGTACCTGCTGTAACACCACAATTATTAGTTGAAACAACGAATTCAATAGTAACAACAACACCCGCAAAAGTAACTTCAGTTGCATCAGTTTTTACAAATCTTTTAACTAAAAATCGGTCATGTTCGTCAACACGTCATTATGATTATGAAGAAATGAAATGGACATTAAGACGAAAATCATCCGATGAAATACTAACATCACGAGAAGTTATTACAAATAAAAATGCTATTAGTAAAGATGCTAAAGATTATCGTGTTACTGTTGTTTAATTTATTGAATTGTATATAGACAAATTTTAAATAAAGAAAAAACATTTTTGAATACGAACGTTATTCATATGAGATGATTCACCTGTAATCGTATTCTTGAGTCATGAAAACAAAAAGAACACGCATATAAAAGCATAAATATTATCTTAATAAACGTACATTCGTTTTTAGAGGATTTTTGTTGCAAGTATGTCTTCAGATGAGTCATCATTATTCAAATCATTGACAGATGAAGATAAAGAATTATTTAATTCAGTAAGTTAATTGTATTTATAAAATATTAAATTCATATTGTATCATACAGTATAGAGAAGCAATTAACATTCGATTACACGAAGTATTTCCAGATGTACCTGTTGATTATTATTTACAACCAATTAGTATTCATCAGCAATTAGGTTGTGGAACATTCTATACATATAAAGTATAATTACTTATTTATTTTAAACAGAATTTCATAATTCTTTTTAAGGTTGCTTTACCTGATAATCAAATCGCTGATGTCGCTTTTCATCTAGGTGGTAGACGGGTACAGCCACTTGTTGGTCCACCACATTTCGAAATTACTAAAAATAATTAATTAAATATTAAACAATCAAAGATTACATGTATTTTATAATACGACAGTTTTAATTAAAATACTTTATTTTTGTTATTATCAACGATTTTGTTTAATAAAAAGAAAAGGATAAGAAGATATTGAACAACAAATTGTTACCCTATTAGCTTAAATGTACAAAGCGTCTTAAAAATTACGGTCATCCGAATTTTATTCTTATAAATCAAATTCATGAATACAGTAGAATAGATATTTGATTTTGTAAAACTTGAATAAATGCTATGTCATGCACCCGTCTGCAGTCTTTTATGACTCAATCGAAGTTTTATTAGTATCTTTTGTTTTCTTTATGCGAAAATAAAACCATAGCAAATATTTGTAAATCGTAGAGTAATATTTCAATGTTTCAAAGCACATAATAACAATCAAAATTCGAATAAATGTTGAAACTGAAAAGATACCCATTATTTATTACACTGAAAAAAGACTAGTTCCGATAATACACCTAGAAGTAATCGTTTTTCAATAGTATAGATAAAATTTATTGTCTTATTTTGCACAAAAGCTCGGTCAGTAGTAGAATTCAAATATATAGTAGAGTATGCCGACTCTCTATGTTATAGCAGAAGCAAGTTTGAAAATGAATTTTTTTCACATTAATAATAAATCTGATTTTTATTTGTATAAGGTCAAATAATAGGATAAATTCAATCTATTTTTTAAACAAACGAATTTTAAATTATATTGCTCAAAGTTCAAGATCTTCTGAGATCATAGTCTTTTTCAAGAATATTCATTTTCATTTCTAAATTAAAACATGTATCAATGAATAACTAATGTAACCATTAAGATCTAATTTTTATTTCTCAATTTTTGTTTTTAATCTTCCTCATAATTTTAGTTTGTCTCTATTTTTTGTTTCTGTTTTCATCATCACAAAAGCTCGTGGATAACAAAGACATAAACAATACACACACACACAAAGAAAAAGGAAATTCGAATTTGAACACATCAAAAAGAGAGAGAGACAAGAAATAAAAAATAAACGTGAGAAAAAAACAAAGAAACATCAGCCTTCTACATACACATTTTATTTTCCACGCAAAAAGATAGTCAAATTTGGTTTTGGTTTTCTTCATTTGTTTATCTTTTGCTGGAAATTCAACAACAATAACAAAATGAGTTTAATTACCTTGGATGATATATACGTCAATGTACTAATATATACATACAAACAATGACAAACAACAAGAAACAGAAAATAGGATACAAAGAAAAGGAAATGTCTTCATTCGAGATAGAATTGAGAGTCCAAATAATAATGATGATGATAATATAATCAAGAAAGATTTTGTGTGTTTAACATGAACCGCCAACCTAAAATAGAAATTAATTTATTTAGATTTTTGAAAAGGTTTTTTTCTATATTTACTTGTTCTTGATATACATCAATGGTATCATTATCTTCCATTTCTAGAAGCTTGGGAGTTTCATCATCATTAATTCGTTTACCATCAAATAGAAACCTAAGAAATTTAAAATTTAAAACCAAAGTTCTTCCTTTAAAATAATTATTTACCGCAAACTACCAACTGCGACACCTAAATAAATAAAATTTTTTAATTAAATTTCAATTAATATATTAATTTTACCTTGCCGTTCAGCATATGATTTTTTCAATTTACCCATTGAGGTTGTCATTTTTACTTTGAAATGAACTTCACCTATAGAAAAATAAAATAAAAAAAGAATTCTTTAAATAAATGATAACTAACTATTGTCTTGTCCAACAACTCTAAGTTTAATATATTCATCATTTTTGCTTGTATTATTGCTATTTGTAGCGTCAGCCGAAGACATTTTTTTTTCCTCTGAAACAAAAAAAAACGAAAGTAATCTTCTACTGTTGAATAAACGGATATTTCACTCTTCATATGAGTGAATGTGTGCCGAGAATTTTAATAGATAGATTTCTTTTTTGAGAAATAAAAAAGAGAGTGCATAGAATGTTCTAGAAAATGATAATGATTGGTTTATATTTAGAAAAATTAACTTAGTTATGCATTGTAATGGATAAATAGAGCTACTAGCTATGACAAATATGATGTTAGATGACGCTCATATCGTTAAACAGTGGCGTCCTCTTTCTCTCATTCTCTCTTTTTTTTCTTTCTTTCTTTTCTTCGTATTTATCTAGTTATCACGTGTCACAATTGGTCATAGCGGACCTCTCGAGGGTATTTTGCTACGCCTGAATAATTTGTGCACTTAACTTACGAATGAAATAAAACAGACCAAACATTTTATTATTATTATTATTAAATATACATGAATTTATAAAGCGAAATAATTACTTTTTAACAGAAAAGAAAAAAAAATGCCTACTGTAGTCAGAAGCATACGATTATAGCTATAGTTCTTTTTCAAATAAAAGATATTTACTTTGCAAATTTCAAGGTAAATGATGAAAAAAGAAAACAAATAGAAACATGGTTACACAATTAGTCATTAATAGAGATAAGTATCTTAAATGATGAAATGCAGGTGAGATCAAGACGTGTATATAAAAGAAAAATAAACATACGTCTAGTGGAATGTTTATAATAGATCATCATGAAAAATCATTTATTTCTTATCGTAATACATCGTGAGAAAAAAAAGATTGGGGAAAAATTCGATGTGGATCAATGAATTTGCTCTTGATATAATAAAAGAAATATGTTTTATAAGACACTGATAGATATTTGAAAATAAGTGTACCGATTGACCCCGATTGATATGTTCGATGAATCAACCGGTTTCTTACAGATACTAAATATAGAGTTGTGTTAGACCGTTATTTTTCGTATTCAAAAAAATTGGGTATTTTTGGTAGAATCATCAATAATACGGTCAACCTTTTATTTTCAAAAGAAATTTAAAAATCGTTATACACGTTGCAAACTTTTGATTGGTTACATAATACATTGTCTTAAAACTATTTTAATAATAATAATAAAATTCTCCAACGGAATTTCTTGTTGTTATTTAATAAAGTACATTAATAAATTATAAAAACAAGTATTTAGAAGATGATAGAATAGTGTGATACTCCAGAGTCTATCATATCACTTTGTTAACAACTATAAAGATTAGTTGACATTTATTGCGAAAGCAAGATATTCTCAGATGGTATATAATAATATCTATGACGTAGTTGTCATCTAAGGTTCCCTTCTATAAATGTCATTTACTGAATTTCATTTCGAATCAAATTTCTTTTATGCAATTTAATTTCAGCTTATACTAACTTGACACAACTATTTATAGTTTATTTGAAAAAGTTATTCAGATCTGATTAGAGTCATGACTTGACAATGATGTCTATTCAAACTGTGCAACTGAAATTATCATAGTGTGAATCGTCGTATCTTTCAACATGTTAAATAAAGACTGATCGACAGTACTAATTCAATATCTACGATCATATTATAGTGATTGTTTATTAACAGTGTAAATTTATTCGATCATAGATTTTTTTCCTATACAAATAAATATATATGCTACATTCTTTTATTTTTTTGTACTTAGAGAACTATATTGAATTGTCGGTAATAATAAACTTAGTGTCATATTTTAAAATATATTCTTTGACGTCATAGTGATAAATTTTTTAGTTTGTAAAGTATTCCATATGACATTTAACAATTATGCATGCTCTGTTTATTTAAAGTTTCTTCTAATTTATAAATTATTATTAGTAGACTATTAACAAAGTTAATGATGCTTTTAAAATATATCTTAGAAATGAATTAGACCATTTTTTACATTTACATCTATTATTGATGTTGAGTTGACAACCAATCGGGGGAAAACACATAGATCAAAGAATTCTTTTTTTTTTCGATTAATATTATGTAAAAAATTTCAATTGTTGAAAATTATTTTGTATAAATTAGAATATAAAACACTTTTCTTTCATTCTAAAAAATTGACATTAGAATTATTTTTAGCTACAATGTTCCTTTGTTCTTTACGTTCGATGCAACACTTTTCCGACATTAGTTTTACATGATTTTGATACAAGTTGACTCTATTTTTAGCGCATTGACAGGACTGGGGAACAAATATTTACCATAATAATTATTATAACTACAGAAAAAAAATCGATCGAAAATTATGCTTTGTCAATTATCAAGATATTTTCTTTTTCTATTAACATTATTAAATTTAAATCATTAGCTTCAATAAAATATACTTCAGTTTAAAAATGTCTTACTACCGGAAATTAGTTTTTACAAACAAGTGTCTTTCAAAATACAAAAAAGTAAATGATAGTAAACAATCCGATGATATGATTCGAAAAAAAGCAAGATTACAAATACATATATCGAAGAAAAAAAAATTTCATTTTCCGTTATGTACCTTATATTTTCTTTCAGACAAAGGTAATAATTACATGCACTTTACGTATACATTTGTACCAGGGATAGTAATACTAAATCCAATCTGTTAGTTATATGACTTTTCAGCGTATCCTTATGCTTCGATAAAACATGTTCTACTTATTTTCCTGATTTTAAGATACAAACAGCTGCATCAACTAATTCTAAAATCATAATTTTTTCTGCAAATTTGCTTAGCTAATAATTACAGGAAACATCAAAAAATTTTTTTATATACGACTTGTTGCTTGTTGACAACCTAGCGGCTTTTGTTCTGTCTTTGAGAAGAAAATATCTACCCACGTAATGAAAGAATAAGTAAGCGAGCAAGCGCATAGATGAGTTTTCCATTGAATGCGCTTGTCGAAAGGAATAGAAAAATGACGTAGTTATTATTTTCTTCTTTCATATTGTTTTTGTGTTTTTTCTCATTCTCTTTCTCTTCGCGCATATTCAGTACTCGTCTTAAAACGCCTACCACTGTTTCCACCCACACTTTTATAGTTCGGAGAGCAGAGAAAGAAAGATCTCATTATTTCTGAACGCATAAACCCGATAGGAAGCACATACAAAGTCTTACAGACACACACACGCACACTTAGAAAAAAGAAATAGTAAGTATCATTATCATAAATCTTTTGCAGTAAATGTAATCTTTCATTACTCTATAGACATTCAATCATGCAATTCATCTCCTTCTGTCTCTTTACTATTATTTTTGGATATTCGTTGGTCATTTCTGCCCCTGTCAATCATAGTAAGATTTTAGTTTTTTTTTAATATTTTTTCATATGGTTAATGATGATGATATTATTTAGCAGTTCCTATTACTGATGAAGCCAAACATCAAAAAGCAACTGAAATTGCTAGTCGTCTTCTAAAAGAAATTGCCGGTGAACAAACTGAATCTCATCATTTAGTACAATCGACAAGTAATGAAGAAAATAAAGATACAAATGTTGCTGAAACTCATTCAAAAACCGAAAAAGTTGAACCATTGATTTCAACATCCAATGATGAAAGCAGTGCTGAAGATGAAAGTGAAGAACTTGAATTAATGCCAACAATCGATGAAGTATATGAAATCTATAATAATAATAATAACAAATATGCTCAAGTATCGAATGATGATGATGATGAATCTTCATCAGAAACTCTTGATGATGGTGATTATTTTCTTCCAATTAGTCGAGATCAATTAGTGAGATATTTAGCCAATGAAGACGAACGTATGTTATTGAAATTAAATTTTAAATAAAAACAAATTTCTATTTTTCTAGATGATGAACATTTAATATCAGCACTACAAACACAAATAATGGATGATCGTATGATGACAGCAGAAAATCATCAACAACAACGACGACGCCGTTCAGTGTACTAAAATATAAACGATTGTTATTTTATTCCATATATTTATATTTAATGATAAAAGGTTGAAAGCGAAAAAAAGGTCAAATTGTTGTTTTCAAAACAACGAAAAGAAAAAAAAGATCATGATTCAAAAAAAAAATATATTTTTATTTATATTCTTTTATTCGTTGTATATAACTATCCGTGTTGTATATGTGTGTGAATCTGTCACAAAAAAAGATTATTTACAGAAAAAAGAAATGTGGTCTCCAAATAAATCCAGTCTTTTTTTCTTGTTTGTTTTTAATATATATATATATGTTTTATTCACCATCACTGCTACTTCGATAAACACGAAGAATATCATCAACTGGAGCTCGACATATTGGACATTTCATACGAGTTGTAGAAGTTGTTTCTCGAAGATTTAATCCGCATATATAACAAACACATAGATGACCACAACGATAGAGTACTGTATCAACAATAGCTGTTAAACATATTGTACAATGTCCAGCATTTATTGGATGACTTGATGAAGGTATTGTTGATAAGGAATTATTAGCAATAGAACTAGCTACTTCTTGTCGTAGAGATCTTTGCATATCCATTTGCATTGAAAACATTAATTGTAACATATGTTGCATGTTATCAAGACGTGATGATAGTTCATCAATACTTGAAGTAGGCTATAGAGAAAGAAAAAAAGAGAGAGAATTCATATTAATTATAATATGAGAAAAATAATTCTACGAGAGAAGTATTAGCTGTTGTTCGATTAGAAATAAATGTCGGACGAGTATGTGGTAGTGGAATAGCTGTTGCTTCACGTTCTGATTGTAGTGGTGGTGGTGGTGTTCCTTGTTCCAAACGAGTCTACACATATTGAATATATATATATGTATACACATTGTTAAGATGAATAGACTTACTAAAACATTTTGTTCAAGATGTGTACGAAAATCACTTTCTAAAGCACTTGTTACTAATTGTCGATGAACAAGATCACTGATTTCTAAGACGATGATTTCACGTTGTAATTGTGTTATTGTTTGCCATGCATTTATTTCCCTTTCTTGTCTATAGAATAAAAAAAAAGAACAAATATTAATTTAATAGAAGAATACGTGATTGAAATATAATACCTTTCAAGATTAAAGGGTTCATGTATTGAATTTGATGGAATCTGTGAACGTTCTTGTCCTATTCTAATTGATGGTACACTTAGTGAAAATGAAGGTAAATCTTGTGTAATTTGTGAATGTAATTGTTCCCTATTAATATGTGCGAATTCTTGTGTAATTTGTGAACGTAATTGTTCCCTTCTATATTGCCTGAATGTGTGTGGCATTGGTGGTGCTGGTGGAATTTGTTGTATTAATGTCACTGGTCGTGGTTCAATCGAACGACGAATAGCATTTTCAAGATCTTGTCGAAATGATGCACTACTTAATGCAGCTGATACACATCGACGATTAGCTAATGCATCAATATCAGCAATATGTGCACTAGGTACAATAGGTCTCGTCGATGGCACACGTACATTATGTTGTTGTTGTTCTTGTTCTTGCTGTTGTTCTTGAATATTGTTTAGAAAAGTTTGAATTCTTGTACGATTTGATCGTCCTGTTACAGGTCGTTCACCAAAACGTAGATGACGTAGTTCAAACATAACTTCAACACGTTGTTGTTCGATAAAACGTGTAAATGCATCAACTTCTGTTTCAAATGCAGATAATGCAACATCTTCTTCACTTCTAGAACTTGAACTATATTCAGATTCATATCCATTTTCAATAACATTCGTTGTCATTTGTTCACCTGAATAGTTCGATATGAAATATTAACAAACTATAGTTTTTAATCAAACACCTTTATTAACAACTACTGGCTCATTAACTCTTTCGCCAGAAGGTATATTCAAATTTGTTACAGTTATATATTCGTCCGTCATATAATATTTCCTTCGTTGATAAATAACTATTTCGTATGATGTAAACGTATACTACATCAAAAGAAGGGCGACGGTCTATTCATTTATTAACTATTGCACAAGAAACTTTCAATAAACAATATATGTGTGAATCATATTGTCTTAATTATAGATATAAAAAATGTGTCTATATATAGATCTGAATCATATTCTAATATTTGCATATAAAAAACAATAAATAATTCATGTCTAATTTTATCTCTCTGACGTCTAGATTTATCTTAGGTAATTAGAAACTTGTGATTCACTATCAGTTCCTTAGTAAAATAAAAATAAAAATCTGACAAGTTGAAATCCCACTTTGTTTTTAATTAAAAAAATGTCAATATACATATATTAGGCGGGTATTTGCATGAATTATCAAAATTGAATATTTTTACCAATCTTAAACATGCTTAAAATAAACGAATTTATTATTCATTTCATTGTTCATGACCGATTTTTTTCACTTCTGATTATTCTTTAATAATGAAACGTCATTTAAATACGAATGAATTCTTGTCATCATCGTCATCAATTCATCATATACGTCATCGGAAACAACGTCACTTAAATAAACAGGAAATATTATATAAAAATACTTCCGTTTCACCGGTACATTTACATCAACAAATATATACATCATCAAATTCATATTTAAAAGAATTTAATCTATCAGAAAAAGATTTTAGTGATTTACGAAAAGCACTTCAAACAATTTTCTATTGTATACAACCTGACGTCATTAATGATCATAAACAACGTTTAACTAGTCCTTATTTACAACAAAATAATCAATCATTTTTACCACTTTATACAAATGAAGATTTTATTCGAAATGGTTTATTAAATCATAATGATGGTCCACAAATCTATGATAATTATTTTCAATCAAGAAATTTATCCTATTCAAAATCTTCTTCTTCGACAATGTTAACATCTCCGATGAATATTTCTGTACCATTAGCATTATTATCTAATCAACAACATTTATTTACTGCATTGACAAGTAATTTTATATCAGATAAATCTAGACGATCACAATCTAATATGGAATTAAATATGAGAAAAGAAAATAATCATGATGAAACTGAATCAATTGTTATTCGACGAAATAAAGTACAAACATGGAAGAAAAATAATATTCTACAACAAACATATTCTTCAATACAAGAAAATAAACAACTTGATATATCTGAGTATCATCGAAGTTCTATTGTTCGAACAACATCATCAATAATTAAAGATGATGAGACTATGAAAAATATTAATTCACAACAATCAGAAATAAAGATTAATGATGATCTATTTCCCATGATAAAAATACTTGGTAGGCAATGATTTGTAAGAAGTTTTTGTTTCATTCTTGTCATTTAGCTCCATATATCATTATTCGTGATATTTCATATTTAAATTCAAATTCTCTACTATCAAAGAATATTAATGGTAATGAAAATAAACAATCTGTCAATCATTTAAGAATAGGATCAGAAAAACGTTCATCAAATGATATATTACTTCCTACATTTTCAACAGCCAAACGACGATCAATAGTCATACCATCCTTATCGATCACTAATCAAATTCTTGAAATTAACAATAATAAACGTATTCAAGAAGAGAAAACGAATTATTTACTTGCTGAATTTGAATCAGTTCTAACTCAAATATCTAAAAAATAATTTAGTATCGATCTTCTATTTGATTATTACATATATACTTATAAATGTCCTTTTTTTCTACTAATATAATTTGAAGAAAAACGAATAGATTCTATACTTCAAAAATCAAAAGACATAAAATATTATTATTAGTCTTGATATTTGATTATCTAAATAATTAACATGTTGATATCGCCATATATGATCATCATCATAGAAATACGATTCTAATGTCTTGTGACACAGACTGTGAATTCATTGACCGGATTAATATAAATCAACTAGAACAAAATTACATGATATAATTAGAAATAAATGATGAACTGTTATTAAATCTATTCTGTATGAATAATCAAAGGAATTATGCTTTCCTCTATATTAAACAGATCTTTTCTTGTCCTTTTCTGAGTCGGTGAATCTTATCACAATGAAGTTGTCTTACGGCAAATAATGTCGCATAATAAGATGACATCCGTTTGAATGTATCATAAAGTCTATGACTGCCAATAGAAAGTTTTTTTTTCAATCTTCATCGTGTCTATTTGTATTATCATCATGATGAAATAAAATGAAAATATAGGAATTTGTACGTAATCGGTAGTTTTCACCGGTGGAGAATAAGTTAGTTATCATCTAAAACAGCAATGTCTTGATGATTAAATATTATTTTCAGTAATCAAGAACCTGATATGCTATGAAAAGAGTATAGGTTCAATATAGATAACAAGACAATATAAAAATAATCTATTTGAATCTTTAACTAATAAAATTTCTTGAAAAAGATATATACAGGAAAAGAAAAAGTTTCATCACGAAGATATTAAAATGATTTTAATATTTCTTTAACCATTGTCTCTGTTAATTTAAATTTTTGTACTTTGCCAGTTTGTGTCATAAATGGAAGAAATGATTCAACCACTTTGACATGTTTTGGTACTTTAAAAAATGCTAATTTTGATTCTAAGAATTTTTTTATTTCTTCAACATTATCAATGTTTGTATTTGGTTTTGCTTTTATCCATGCACAAACTATTTCACCATATCGTTCATCAGGAATACCAAATACTTGAGCATCACTTATACATGGATGTTCTAAAAGACAATTTTCAACTTCAACTGGATAAACATTTAAACCACCAACAATTATCAACTCTTTTTGACGCGTACGATAATAAACATAACCATCTTCATCCATGTAACCTATATCACCTGTTTTTAACCAACCAGAAGATGTTATTGTATTACGTGTTTTTTCCTCATCCCCATAATAACCTATTAGAAACTTAGAGAAATAAATTTATTGAAAGATAAATAAAGAATTTATACCTCTCATAAGATTAAAACCACGTGCACAAATTTCACCTTCTTCACCAATTGGTAAAATATCATTATTCTTATCCGCTATTTTCATTTCAACATGAGGCATTGCTTTACCAACAGATGCAAATCGAAGTTTCTTATTATCTCCAGCAAAAATACTCATAACCATTAAACCTGTATTTTCTGTTTGACCATAAACTTGAGACATTTCTTTTACTGGAATTTCACGTTCTAATGCTTCTAGCAGTACTGGACTAACAGGTGCTGCACCAATCATACCAAACAAAAGAGAAGTTAAATCAAATTCTTTTCTTCGTGGATGATTAAGAAGATCTCGCCATATTATTGGTGGTCCTATTAATGCAGTACATTTCTCTTCTTGTATAGTACGCATTGTTTCTAATGTATCCGGTAAAATTGCAGGAAATGCTACAAAATAACCTGGTGCATTAATATTTAAAGTTCCACCACCCTCACCAAATAAATGAAATGTTGGAACAGGACAACATACACGACTCATATATTCTGGATGAGTATAATACATTGGCACACTAGTATTTAATCTAAAAGAATAATAAATTTTTCAAAATTTCGTTTTAAAACAAAAATCTTGTTTTTAATGACTTACAGATTAAAATTAGTTAATGTTGCTGCTTTAGGTTGTCCAGTAGTTCCTGATGTATAGAAAATTGCAACTGGAGTATCACCATTCATTTCTGATTGACGTTTACGTCGTTCTTCTTGTCGTTTTCCTGCACCCTTACGCACAAGATCATTATATAAATGTATTCCCGATGGGATATAACTTGGTATTTTTCCATGTTGTTCATTATCACCTGGTGTTAATATTACATGTTTTAATGTTGGTAATAATTTTGCATTTAATTCATGTTTTTTTTCACTAAGTTCAGGTACTAATCTATTTAATATTGCTATACAATCAATTGTTTTTACATTAGGTCTCATTACTAATCCTTTACATCCTACTTTATTGATACAATAACTTAATTCACGATCTGTATAAGCTGGATTAATATTTACCTGAAAATATAAACAATGTTTTTTGTCTATTAATATTTAAGAATAAAAAATACTTTAATTAAGCCAAGTTTAGAAGCAACATAGCTCATTGTACAAGTTTGTGAAGTGTTTGGTAACCAAACACCAATTCGATCACCTTTTTCAAAACCTAATTCAAGAAGACTTGCTGCAAGACTATCAACTTCATCAAGAAATGATTTATATGTATATCGTTTATTTCCTTCACTTTTAAATGCATAACATTCATGGTTTGGATAGGTGTTGGCAAGTTGATCTAAATGATCTCCGATTGTGTGATATAAAAGTGGAGCATCACTTGCATGATAATAATAACTTTGAGTAAGTTTTGATGAAGGAAAAGGTAATTTTGTATAAGAAGATGAAAAACGTGATGATAGAGCGAAGATGGATGAATATAACGATCGATTTGCAAGATAAACTTGAGATAATCTAGTTAACATTGTAAAAAATCTAGAATTTAATTATCGAAGAATTATTAATCAAACTCTACATGATAAAAACAAAATAATCGTGCAGACAAATGGATTTCTTCAATAAATAAAATCGCAAAAAAGTGAATATTCTCTTTGATGTTGATGTAGTAATATGTTGAACTTTAAATAATTCATACAGTAGACTTTATCAATCAACTAAAATTGACCAGTACAATGTCGTATATCGTAGTTTATCAGTAAATATTCACTTATGAATAAGGCAAAATGAAGAGAATAAGACGAAAAGATAAACACGTGTGAACCATGTGAGGCTATCATGAAGTACGTGCTTCAATGATTGATAACGAAAGTTAAAAATAGTTTTTTTTTCATTTTCTCTCTGTTCTATTTTACATTATCTCGAAACATTTTATACAAAGTAAAAATGTACAGCAAAGGTCTTTCAATTATAATAAAAGTACTCCATGCTATGAAGCAAAATTTTATAAATCTCTTAAAATTTGAATATTTTATTCCAAATACTCTAAAGATATCGTGCAAACATCAGTATCATAAGTTAAACTTCTCTTCTTTTCATTCTGATGTACTTGTGAAGCATTAGAAAGCACGGAATGAAGATATACATGTATATAAACTATAGTCCAAATGAAGAACTAGAACTGTAATATATTTGACTCGATATATCAGATAATAGATTTATAACAAAAGGAAACTAATGATCAGGAATTCTTTGCATCAAAATTCTGAATGAGATTATTCTTCCGTTCTATTTGCATAATACAAAATTCAATTTCTACAATAGATTTTATCATCAAATATCTAAAAATAATTTTTATTCGATTTCTTCGAATATATTATGCCTTCGAAATAAGAAATTAAGATTACTAATTAAACATCTCATTGTATCATAATCTTTATTATATAAAACAGTTTTGACAGTTATTCATTTGTCAAGGACACATCACTTAATTCTAATAAGTTTTTGTTCAATTACTGTCATTGTGTGTATTTTCAGACATAGACAACAACTTAATAATACTAATAAAAAAAGTCATTTGATTTACTTCTATATATGAATATAAAAAAAGACAAAAAATGTATTTTTTGTTTTTTAGAATAATTAAACAAGTTAGAACCATCATTATTATTTATTCATTTTTTAGTTAAATCAATATAAGATATATAAATATTTGTTTAGTTTGATATTAGTACCAGGAATTGGGGCACAGATACACATAGATACAAAACAAAATAAAGAACAAGACAAGTTAAATGAAAGAGATTGAAAATTTTGGAAGCAAACTATTGAGTATTGAAGATTATTTCTATATCAAGACGTCCTAAAATAAATCAATTATAATAATTCCATTAAACAAAAAAAATAATCGTTCAATTAATACCCTGCTTACATATCTCCAAATATCCCAGCAAATGTCTTTTTCAAATTTGCAAGCGTATCTTCTGATTCATCTTTACTATGAACATCTCCACCCTATAATAATAATATTTTATAATTAAAAACTATGAAAGAAGTTTTTCTTTTTTTACATCAGCAACATTTGATGTTTGTCTACGAAGAGTTTGTCCAATATTTCCCATCCATTGTGCTGGAGTAGTACGAGATGTATTATGACTAGTATTGCTACTATTAGGATTTGTATTTGCAGAAGGGTTATAAAATGGATTTTGACTAACACTTGGCGGTGGTTTATTATCATTATTAGCTGTATTTCGTGGAACATGTGGCAACTCTCGACGATTGCTATTATGATTATGTATTGCTGCTGTTGATGCCGGTGACGGTACAGTATGTGCATTCATCGTTGAATGTGAAACAGGATCACTTATTGGTGATGGAACTTTCGTTATTTTAGGTAATTCAGGAACAGGTTGTTCAACACTTGGTATTCGTCTTTAATAAATATATAGAAAAAATCATTTTTTTCTTTAATGAAATTCTATTTACGTCATCATCGTCGGTTGTTTATCAGGACGACAATAGATTTGCATTTTGTGCATGACAAGTTCGGCAATACATCGTCGATCTTCATCTTGTGTTTCGCCTAATAATTGCATACAACAATCATTTATCTAGAAGAAGAAAAAACCAAAATAATGAGAAAAAAAAGAACATTTCATTCTAACCTGTACAATAAATTCTTTTCCATCTTTTGATTGAACTATTTCAACAGCACATATATCAAGTCCACCAAATAATTGACTCACTTCATCAATCCATAGACGATATCTTTTAAAATATAATAAAACTTAAATAACAAAAAAAAGCTTTCTTTTTTTCCTACCTATCAGTCATTTCAATTTGTTCAAGCATTGCTGAGCCTGTATTAGCTTTCCAATTACCCGTTAGTGATTTTCGTCTAAAAATAAAAAAATTCAAAATTTATAACAAGTTTATCTAGTTAACAAAGAAGAAGAAAAAATAACTCATAATGGAATGCAAACATTGGTTAAACTTTCTATTTTTGTGTAAATAATGATACAAAACATTTATTTACTTTACTGATTTATAACTTTAATCATAAATGACTCACATAAAAGCTTTATAATATTGTCCAATTTTTTGTATATAAACATCGCAACGTCCGTCAATATATGGTTCAATTGTTGAATAACAATTACTAATAGCAACAACACTTGTTAAATCTTGAAAATCATATGGATTTTCAACTTTAATCTTTATAAAAAAGAAATAAATCATTAAATATGAGAAATTTTTTATTTACTTTTCCTAACCCTTGATGAGCTTGACCAACTTTAATTATAGATGGAAATTGAGGTGAAATAAGCTAAAATTTAAACGAAAAAAAAAGAAATATTCTTTATCGCATTAAATAGTTTATAACTTTTTCTTTTTTTCCCTCTCTCAATAACTTCCAGTCAATTAATGCTATCGAGTTCCGATTACTACGCTATCGGAAAATGAACTCTAATGCATTTATTTCTATAATATTCAAAGATATGCATTTTTTGTTAAATCAGTTATGTATTTATTTACTAAATCTTGTTAATTTTGGTATAAACATTGCATATCTTTATACAACTCACCCATAAATTACTCACCATTTCTCGATGATTTGGATAATAAGCTTGACTTATCAATGGAAATTGATCTGCACCTAAACGTCGTTGAATATTAAGTAATTCTGCGAACTAAACAAAAAAAGAAAGTTTTTAAGTAGATTAATAATTCAAATTGTTTACAATCCATGGTTTATCTCGAAAATTATATAATGCTTTCATTGAATTAACACCAGGTACAGCTCCATATTGCATTCCAAGAATAATATTTGTCCAATCAATATTAATATCTCTTACATATTGTCGAACAAGTACAAAGTCAGGTCGAAATGATCTATTAATTTCGAAAAAAACAAAATAAGAAAAAAAGAATTGTTATTATTATTTATTCATACCGAACAACATGAGTTCCATTTCGATATATATTTATATCAACTAAAGTACCAGCATCTGAATATGCAGCCAAATTAATATCTTTGAATTCTGCCTAGATAGAAAAAAGAATTAATATATTAATCTAGTCAATTTTTCTTTTTAATAAAGTATAACGTTTTCTCTGTATATGATATGTCATAAATTATTATATTCATCATCATCATTAAATAAATTATGTTGATGAATAAAATAAAGAATCAGAAAATATTTATACAAGGTTATTTATCACGAAACAAACATGTATACAACAAGCAATATTTATATATAGAAAACCTGTTCAACACGGATATCATAATCAGCAAAGATTTTTTTGCCTTTGAAATATTTACTCCTAGGAGACAAATTACCGTAAAAAAAAGAAAAATTAATTAGTATATTTATTTATATTTACCAATCAGTATGTTGATCATCGATGACTAATAATAATTTACATTTTTCTTTTGATATCTGTTGATGTTGATCTCTATTTTGTATAGATTGAAAATGAGATTGATGTTGTGGATGATAAGTAGATGGTAAACTACCAGTCGTCGTCGTCGTCGTCGCCGTTCCTGGTTGTTGATGTGGTATTTGTTGTATAGCTTGACTAACGACACCACGTGCAACATTCATAAATTGATTAGCTAATGATGGAGGATTTCGAGTTGGTGAACTTGGAGCACTTGTATATGTTGATGATTTGGATTCCCATGCTGGTTGTCGATTTACATTATTTTGTGGTATTGTAGTTGTATGAGATTCTGTCGATGTTGGTATGGTCATAATATTATCATCATTTTCATTTTGAAGATCTCCTGAGGAGAAACGTCGTTTCAAATAGTTCATCATGGTTACTATTCGTTTCGCATTATTAAACTAGTAAATTTATCTAAAACTACAAAAGAAAAAAAACATAGAAAAGAATCCTTTAGTGCTATATGTCAGATTGTCGACATTTCTTGTCAAGTAAAGAGTTGATTATATTTTTTTTTTGTCTTTCTTTTCTATTCATATTACAATCGACATCATGCGAGTTCATTCAAACAATCTCATTCTCATGATGATTCAATTCTTTCGTCTATCACAACACAACACACAACACACAACACAATAGTATAATTGTTTACCAAAAACGACGTTTTCCTTTTTAGATATACGATGTTCATAAGCCATTGGAAGCTTCATATAAAAAAAAAACGTTCCGAACTCTTGTAGGGAATCGGGTGAGAGAGAGAGAGAAAAGGAAGAACATGACATAGTAGTGCAATACCAAAAGAGATCTCTTCGAAAAATAAAGAATTCATTGAAAACCATCTGGTTTCCTGTCGTCTGTTGATATGTTAAAAAACTGTTGGACAAACAGTGAACATGTCGATGAATAAATCCAAGAAATAATTTTGCCATTAGTAGAAAAGAAATAGACGACATGAAGAAAAATGAATATAAAAAAATATTAAGATCGATCGAATTACCATTTATAGTTCTAAGTATCTTGGGAGTCAAATAGAAAAAAAATCAGACGATGATCAAACTATGAACGACGACGACTCATTTTTTCGATCAACAAATAAAGTAAACATGAATACAAGAAACATTAAATGCATAAAGCAAAAAGTTATTTCGGAATAATACAATATGACAGATTGAGCGAGAAAAACTAAATTGATGATGAACCATTATTCTTCTGCTTGACAAAAAAAAATGTCACGATTCTCTCTTATCGATCACAACGACAAAAACTACGGAAGGCGTAAGAAAAAAAGACAACAACAACGATGCAAATGGCAACCATACATAGACCACAGAGATCTGTGTCTTTCCCTCCCTCTCTCACCCTCTTCTCCCCGTTTTCTTTTACACGAGCTTCCAAAAAAAGAACAGAAACAGCCGACGGAAGATGAAGAAAAAGAGAAAAAATGCATGCATGCAGAATGTAAAAAACGTTCATTAGTTGTCAATTTGACGCACGAAAAAACAGGAACAGATGTCGCCGACAAACGAATTTTGTTCCGGTTAAACTATTTATTAAACTATTCTATTTCATATTGAAATGATTTCTAATTGAGGTTATATAGTTCAATAACATATGCTAATGTCCAACTTATTTAACTTTATGATTTAGAGTAAACAAGAAAAACACGCATTTTTTTTGCTATTTCCTCAATTCACTATATTAAACATGTATGCATAATAGAGTTGATCGTTTTAGTTTCTTTCAATAGAATAATCCCAAAAAGTTTTATTTTTAGAAATGTAAACACGTACTATAACGTGACATATTTAGACTAAATTTGTGGAACGAGAATAACACATCGATCAATAAAAAACAACAACCGTCATAATGGATAAAAACACTGAGATGCCATTCAATTTCCCTAATAGATATCGGACACGTTCGATCTTAATGACAATTTTTTTTTCCTATCATCAGGATGCGCCATATATATATATATTTGATATTTCTCTCTCTCTCTTGATGACAAGGTGATTCTTCTACCTTGTCTTAACGTGCATGAACAGAACATTATACCGCATCAGCGTAGGCTTTTACATTTTTCGCGGCACGATAAGTAATAATTACCGAAAGACTCACATAACGAAAAAAAGTCAGAATAGTAATTACTTGTCACATCGTTAATGCAAACCACAAACTCATGTATTATACATAGAAGCAAAAAAAACGAAAAAAAAAGAATATCAAGGTAATATATGATGATATGGGAACGGGTTTAGTGATGCGTAACGTACGGTAAATTGAATAGGAAAAAACCTCTAAGAAATTCAATAGACAGAATAAGTGCCAAGAGCATTTGATTGATGTAGAATAGAACAGTTATAACTTTTTGGTTTGACGTCTACAGGTCGTATTGTATTTGTATTGTTAAAGAATAGTTCTTCTTTTCAACTTATTCTTATAGATTATCTTTGGTGAAATTATTTTTATTTTTATTAGTCAAGGAGATTCTTACGTAAATTATTCTATATTTAGAGGTAAAAGTTTTAAATAGAATATTATTATAATAATTTAACTTTTTGTTTTTTTTTTTGAGAAAATAAAATATTCTTACCTAACAAAAAAAATCCATATATCTTCAACTACAAAAATCACTTGAATGAAGAGAAGAAAAGAGAAAATTGTAGATAAAACATAGAACTTGTTAAATAGAGATTTCTAACATTGATTATAAAATTCTTGATAGAAAAAATTGATTATCATTATTTTTCCTTTCTTTTTCTAGTTTATTTTCCTTGAACAATCAGATATGAACTATCAATATACTATTACCCCATATATTCAATCAGCAATGGCACAAGCCATGCATGCCATGATGAGTGGTGGTCCATTACCACCAAATTGTTATATTGTAGCAATACCTATGCAACAAGCTCAACATATGTTTCCTCAATTACTGATGAATTATACACCTAATCCAGGTGGTTTAATGATGTTTGGTCAAAATTCATCTTATTTCGGTCGTCCATATCCACCATCATCATCATCCGCTTCAGCAGGTTCATATCCAGACAGTCAACAAACAAATGCTGTTGTACCTTATTCAAATTATTATGCACAAGGTTATAATCAAAATTATAGTTATCCTCCTAGTGCTCAATATTCTGAATCTGATGGTTCATCATCACAACAAAGAAAGCCACCGAGTCGTACAAATAAAAAGAAAAATTCTGGACCACATTCAAATGTTTATAATTCATCATCATTTGATTCTTATATGCGTAATTTAAGTTGGAGTCGTTTATTTGAACGTCATCATACGAAAGAACCAAAAAAAGATCAAGCTGCATTAAGTTATGATCAAAAATCGAAATCATCAAATAAACAACCAAGTCATTCAGATAATTCATCAACATTATCATCATTAACATCATCTAGTTCATCATCAACAACAAGTGATGAAACTATTCGACGAGTTGACGTATCAACAAAACCACCATCTGGTACATCATCATCATCAAAACAACAAACTAAAAGTAGTTTACCATTTAAATATTCATCAGAATTTATTCCTGGTGCTGTTAGCAAAGAACAAGCACAAAAAGCTAAAAAAGAATCGAAAGTTAAAATTGATGATGTTTTTCTTGTTAAAAAACCACCACCAACTCCACCATCATCAACACAACCACCACAACAACAACAACAACAACAATAATAATAATTTAAAAAACAAGAAGAAAGAAAAAAACAAATTTTTTCTTTTTTTTTGTATAGGTTTTATAATTTTACTTAAATTCTTTTTTTTTAAATAAATAGCTTTTACACGTTTTTTTTCTTCATCCTTGACTATATATTTTCAAAAAAAAAAAAAACTTTAAATAGAAATATATATATATATATGTATATAAAGAGTCACCAGGAACTTAAAAACAAATAATAATCTGACAAGTTTTGTACACAAGAAAAAGAAAAACAACGCATACACACATATTCTCAACTGTCTTTTTTCAGAATAATACAAAATTTCCTTAACGAAAGAATTCATCAGGAATGATAATAGGTGATTGTTGACTTGTACGATCAACAACTGGATGTAAACGAAAACGTTGATTAAGTTGTTCAAAACTATTATTTTTCTTTTGAGGAAATTGAAGAAGACGAGCATTTGAACTTTGACTTCCACCATCAATATCAATAACCATACGTGTATGTTTTAAATATATAATAAAATCATCGGATTGATTATTTGATCGTTCAAAATTAACTGTTTGATATGGTGTACGAATACCCATCGAACGGCAAAGAACAATTGGTGCACATGGTGTTGGTGAACCACTAGAATAACAAAAAAACTTAAGGCAAGAATTTAAAAACACACAATGCTTTTTACTTATGCACAGTTAAAACAAGACCAGTTAAATGATGTCGAATAACATAATCATGATAACCAATATGTTGAATTTCAAATACTTGTGTTTCTCCATCATTCTATAAATAAATATCTATATATATTTATTTATAGAAAAATAAATAATAATAACAAACTTGTAGATTTTGATCTTGCTGTACTAATGTTGAACGTTCAGGTGTAAATGTAATGAATTTACCTGAATGAATAGATTCAATTAAATATAAACCATCAGGTATATTTTCACTCTAATTAATAAAAAATAAAGTTTTTAAATCATGATGAATTTTTTGTTTTATAAAAAATCATACCGCAAAATACCATTGATCATGCATGGTAAAAACAAAAATTATATAAATATCAACGATTCTTTTGAATTAAATTTAACTATTAGTATATATGTGTGCAAAGCAATATGTTCTTGCAGTTGCGTATTTGTTTTTGTTGTTGCTGCTACGACTGTTGTCGACAAGATGCAGCGTGCAAGATGACGAAGAATGAATCGTTCTTATAGTCGTTGTGACAAACAGGCAACACACCACCACTACCGTTCACATCATCATCGACAACGACGGTTGGAAGAAAAAAATGATGAGAAAGAGCAAAGAGGGATATAAAAACGTGTATATATATAATATATATATATATATATGTGTGTGTATTTATGTGACGAAATAACAAATGATGTGAAGTGAAATCTTATAACAACAACAACAACAACAACTAGGATGATCACAAGACAAGAAATATGAATTCGATTTTTTTTTTGTCGAAAAAATCTAGAAAATAAAAACAAACTCTAAGGAAAAGAAAAGTACGGAATGTTCTATGTTTTTACATGTAAAAATTCATGTATATAAGATATATTATTCTCAAAATAGTTTATTTTTTCTCTGTCTGTTATTTCAAGGATACAGTAACTATAAATGACTCATCATAAATAGCTTGGTATATGTATACGATACTATATTTCTCTTTTTCTTTATCTATAATAGCACGCGACTCGATGATTACGATAAACTTTTTTCTCTCATAAAAGAAAGAAGAGAGAAAAAAGACAAGTAAAGAAATAAAAGTATATATGTGTATATTGATTACAATATTATTGACTCTCACCTTGAAATAAACATGGACTACTTATGACATTTTAATTAATATCCAACACATACATCAGCAACTCATAATATGTTGTTAATTAATAGAAATAACTTGTATTTATTAATAGTTTCGATTGATTTTCTGAAAAATTTACATATTTTTTCATTATAAAATCACTTTAATAAATGCATGCCCTTTATATACAAATATTTATTCGTACTCAAATAAAAACTTCTGTGTTTTTTCTTTCTGCATTACCATATCAACTGACAAGGACGTTTTTCTTTTCAAATAATCGAATTATTTAATAAATAAGACTTTAAAATAGAATTGATATATACCGTTCAAATTTTTTTCTCTTATTGCAATAGAATCAAATAGGAAAACAACACTTTTTCGATAATTCGTAAATTTATTTTAAGTAATTTAAAAATTACATTATTTTTCTTGTAAATCTAATATGAATAATATTTGTATTATATTTTTTCTAGATCAATTTTCAGATATCAATAATAATAATTAAATCTATAGGAATGATAGTAATTGATTTTGACGTTTTCAATTGAATGACCTTGAGAAATGATTTACTCGTATTAGTTTTTTTTATATCGCCCTATTTAAACTGATACTGAATACAATCTAATCATCAATAGATATAGATTTTCGAAAGATAAACTATTGTTCGTAGATAGTCATGTATAGATATTAAGAGTCTCTTCAATTGATTGAATAATACAAATTTTTACGATTAATCATCGTATCAGTTGATTGAAAATATGTCGTGACATGATGAAGGATACATATGTTTTTTTTTCTTATCTATCAGTATTTATAAAATATGTCAAAATTAGTTTTTTAATAGATTGAAATAAACAAATAAATATCAAATATGATTACATATCGACAAAATCGTATTATTGAGTAGGAGTATTAGAGTTAGATAATTACTTATTGGAAAATGTAGATTGATGTCCTTGGATAACATTTTTCTATATAAAAATCATTAAGAAATGAACAATATTTTATATCGATTATTTGAAACTAATTCTTATAAATTATATCAGACGATATATCCTAAATAGATTTCCTTATTTACTTTAACAAAAAGAATCTATCTAAATCTATAAAATAATTATCTATGTATATTTTATATTGTAGAGTACCTTAATATCTTATAATTGACTTGTTTATCATTATATTTGTATATTATTACGTTACGATATACGACTAATTGGGGGAGTAATGCTGTTTTCAATCAATCAAAATGTATTCGGACTGACACATGTGTGTGTGTGTTTTTCTTTTCTATAGATAGTTTTCTCAATTTATAGTAGAAAATTTACTTTTTCTAGCATCAAGATATCGTCAACATTAAATGAATTTTCTAAAATTAGTGTGAAGTAAATATTTTGTAGGCACTTATTTTACTAATTAGTAAAATCAACTGTATGTGTCTTCATATATTGATTCATTTACTAAACTTAAATAAAACAGAAATAATTCACTAAAAAATAGATTTTATAGATATATAAAACAATGAATCTGTAATCAGTTATCTTCTCTTATTTCATTGATGTAACATTTGTTACTCATTTACGTTTTATGTGATACAAATTTGAATCAAATCAATAGCTATTTGAATATGGATACTGACATATGAAGGACAACTATCAATCATTAAGATAGATATTTTGAATTAATGCATTATTTCACATACAAAATATCACTTCTATTACAGTTAGATTATTATTGATAATTAATCACATATTTCAGACTTATTATTACTGTAATCCGAAATATACTAAATAATGATCAAAGTCATGCAACGTCATCGATTCTCTGATGACTAATTTTTAAAAGAACATTCACCTAAAATATTTATCGAAATTATAAAAGTTATATATACTTAACAATGTACCAAGAAAAGACATTACCTATTTTGCTATCAACATTATTTAGTTTAAAGAAATCTCACGTGTTTAACCGTGTTAAAATAAAATTAATGCGAAGTAACTCATGAGACTTCATTAAAATACACAATAATTTTAATACGTGATTAAAATGAAATATTTAACATCTTTTCACGTTAAACTGAGTACTTTGAATATTATATGTAAAGAGAATATGAGAAAATATTATCATGAATCTATTAAAACCAGATGAAGATCGTTCTCTAGAATCCTCAATGAATTCATTGCAGTATACTTTCAATATTTATCATCTAAAAACGTTTTTTACAACACTAATCGACGTCGTATCGATCACTTCGATAAAAAAAACCTGATTTAATATATGGCTTCATCTGAAACAATTTTTGCTGATGATCACCTTCAGAATTAATAAATTTACATACACAAATCAGTTAATAACTGGATTGATATTCACAATGATTAACAATAGCGAATTATTTTCATGATAATAAGTTTTTCAATCTATACCCTTCTGAAATTTAATTATTATATTGAATCCCCATAAAAAAAATTTTTTATTCAATTTTATCTCTCTTATTATTTTTCTAAATCTTCAATAGTATTGTTTTAGAAATGAAAAAAATACTTGAATTATTTATTTGGTCTGTATTACAAAAAATATCGAGAAGTATTGAATGGCTTTTTATATGAGAGAAAAGAATAGTATTTGAAATACCGATAAATTTTATTCAATAGTGTTCATTCATGGCCTAGTTTTTCTTTTCTTTTAGCCATTGATTGTGAATAAAAAATTTGATTTGGTTTATGGCTACAATCTTAAAAAAACATTTCTTTTTTCTTCTCACTGTTTTGCTCATGAAAATTATTTATTACGAGATCATAATAGTCACAGACGATAAAAACAGAGCTGTTTTTTTTTCTACTATATAATTTTAACGATGTTGTCTACTGTATGTATACAAGCTGTTGGTTTCTATGTATTTATGAGAAAGAAACTTGTCGCAATAAATATAATATTTTTTTCATTTACGAAAAGTCTGTTTGTTTAAAGTACATCGCACGTAAGTATATTTTTAAAACAGAAAATGAAATAAGTGCAGACGCAACATCATAGGTGAGACATACAACACTTTTTTTTTTTCTTAAGTAGATAATTTTTTTAAAATTGTTTCGTAATGTCGAAGGATTAAGTAATAAATTAATACGAATAGATAAAAATAAGATTTCTATAAAGGATAACAGAAGCAGTGAAAACTGCTTTAAATAAATATTAGCTGTATTGTTTTTTTGTAAGACTTTAACTTGATTTGATCAAGGTGAAGAAAAAAAATGAGAATTCTGTTTTCTTTCTTTAAGAACTAAAACGCATGAGCATCCGATGTAATTATGCAGAGAAAAAAAAGTTTTGTGAATTTATACTAGAATAAATAATCTACTAGAAAATCATGAATAATCCGCTTACAAGACAAGAATAAATAGTATAATATTTCAAGGTGAAAAAATATAAACAAATCATTGAAAAAAAGAAATGATTGAAAAAAATTGGTAAAAGAGTAATACAAAAAAAAAAGAAAGTCTTCTCGTTATTGAGTACTATTTGTAGCATTGATGTTTAATATTTATTATGAGAATGAAAAGACTTGTATATGTATAGAGATGGTATTGATTGATGTGTTTCAAAGGTTTTATTTACGATTAGTCTCCGAACATAATTATATGCAAAACACAGTTCATTTTTTCTTTTTCTTTTTTTCGTTTCCACTACACATACTTATTACTTTTAACAAACAAAGAGATGATTGTGATTAAAATATAGTAGTCGTCATCATCATCATCATCGCGGTGTGCTCGTGTTCTATTTTCTCTCTTTCTTACCTTCGCTCTGTGATTGCAAGTAAGGTTAATTCATCGTGTAACTACTTCAACGAATGCAAACTTTCTTTTTTGTAAAAAAAAGAATTGCTCCTATCAGTCAATTAAATTCAACCTCGGTTAAATAAAAAAAACTGTTCTAAGACAAAATGAGTAAGATGCACGAGTGTTAGTTACTCTTGTTTACAATGTTGCTATGTTATTCTATTAGTATATATGTACTATTTCAGATTTCTCCATCCGGTGATCATTTCTTATGTGAAAAACGACAATTTAAATAAAACAAAATGATGAATAAATGGTATTTCGTTATTACAATAATCTTTATGTTATGTACCGTAAGTTTAAAATTATAATTTATTCGTATCTAATATATCTGTTTAGTCATGTTCGTCGGACAATGAATGTATTGGTACAATTACTAATACAACACA